CCCCTGTCTGCAAGCCATCCTAGGAGTGTGGCTCCAGCATCCTCTGGCCCCAGTGTCCCTTGAGAGTTCAGAAGAGGGCCAGGACCTTGCACTCCAAACTGGCCCTGCTGAGTCCAAAACTTAGGTGGAGGTGTTGGCAACCTGTGCTCAGGTCCATGCTTCAGGCTGGCAGCCACTACGGTGGACATTTATGGGCACCTGGGTGCCCAGCGCTGGGTGGGGCTCAAAGCCCACCAGGAGACAGAAATGCCTGCAACAAGCAAAGTAGTTGTAAAAATTGAAAAGCAGACCAAGGTGGCAGAGAGCAGGGCCCATGGGAGGCTGACCAGAGACTGGCTTTGGACAAGGCGAGAGGTGGTCGGTGAAGCTGTGGTGGGGCTGGAGGAGTCCTAAGTGAGCAGGCATGCAGCCACGGGAGGCCAGGGGTGTGCAGGGGCCTGGCGGGTGTGACCAGTGGCTGCAGGGATGTGACAGGGACCCGGTTTGGCTGTGGACAGCCCGGGGCATGGAGCCGGGGAGCGACCGTTCCCCAGGTTGTGCCTGCAGCCCCGAGGGAGGGTGGTGGAGAGAGTGCCATCCTGCGGGGTGCTGCAGGGTCCCTCGGCCTTCTCATCCATCAGGGCACCTCCCAGCCCCCCCAACCCTGCCCCATGAATGGTGAGGTCAGGAGACCAGATGTAGGGCCGCATGCACCCCACGCCCAGACGTCGTGGCTCCACGCTGCATGAAATCAGCCCACTTGCCGGTGCCTGCGGAGCCTCCACCTGCCAACTGCGCCACCGTGGTTATGGCTTTTCACATGGCTCGAGGTGGAATTCTCACAGCGCACCACGCACACATTCCAAGTGTGCAATTCGATGACTCAGTCTGTTCCCAGACATTTCAGATTCCAAGGGAATATCACTCAGCTTTGCCCACGGGACAGGCCCGACACTGTGCATCCAATCCCCAGAGAGTGGACACTGGCTCTGTTCCCACCTCTCCATCCTGGGTCTCCACAGCTGGGCTGTGAGGGCTCAGAGAGGGCAGACCCCTGTCTGGGTGGCACAGCTGATGAGGCGCTGTGCCAGATGGAAGCGGGTGCTGTGTGTGCCCGAGGAGCCCTCACCACGCCCTTCCTCCCTCCTGGGTCTGCAGTGATGACTGCCCTGGGTCCTGGTCACCAACCCGGGGTGCACGGGGGTATGGTGGGCCTGGCACCCTTGTTTATCTGAGGGGCTCGGGCTGGCACCCATGTGTGGCTCTCGTCGCCTGTCCACCGTGCTCAACCTGCAAGTGGATGGCCCGCAGGTTACAGCCCAGCCCCTGGGGTGGTCCTGCAGGTGCAGCCCTGGGGACCAGGCAGAGGGACTCGCAGGCATCAGGACTTGGGAGGCAGCCCCAGGCCTCCTGCCCAGAGCTGTCCCTGGCCCCGCAGGCAGCGTGCCAGCTCAATAGGTGGCACAAGCAGAACATCCTGGCTGCCCTCCCACCGAGGAGCACTGACCACTGACTGGGCAGCAGGTCACAGTCCCAGGTACAGGGACTCCTGCTGGCCATCTCGGGGGCCGCCCATGTCCTCTGTCTTGTCACCAGGTGGGATCAGGGAGAGGGAGCTTCCAACAGGCAGGTGCTGGTAAGGCGGCTTCCTCCCAGGGGAGAGGGGGAGGCAGGCTCAGGCCACCACAGCACGGGGTGATATGGTCAGCGAGGTCAGGGAGCAGAGTGATGGACGCTGGGGACAGGGTCCTGGGGACAGGCTCCTGGGACCAGAGTTCGATGCAGGCAGCTGCCCAGTACCAGGCTGGGCCAGGCTGGGCTGAGCTGCTCATGTGACTTCCTTGACAGACAGCTGCAGGACAGCTGCCCTGGGCTGTCTCTGTGCGGAGCCTGCTGAGCCCCTACCCTGTTTTGGTCTGCCAGAGTGGCGAGGACCTTTCTCCCCCCAGCCCGCATCATTGTCCAGGGGGCCGAACTCTTCTCTGCGCGCTCCATGTCCCTGACTCTGAGAGCGGGGAGCCAGTGGTGGGACTGGGGCTGCCCTGCCTGTCCCATTCCGGGACGAGATGGTGCAGTGACCTCTAGGCAGTGTCCCCTCTGGAGCCCTGCTCCTCCCGGCCAGGTGCCAGAAGTGACCGGTGGCCCCAGCACTTGTGGCATGAAGCTCCCAGCCTCTCTTCGGGAGGCTGAGTCCACTCAGGCGGTGCCACTGGCTTCAGAGCCACCGCAGGGTTGCCCTTATCCTCCTGAGACTCAGCTCTGTACCCGTAAGACAGGAACAAAATAGCCCTGGGCCCTACTCAGATTTCACTATCTTCGCAGCTGTACCCGCTCCAGACGTCTGTCTCTCCCGCAGTGTGGGGTGGTGGGTCCCCTAAGGGTAGGGACTGTGTCCCCTGCTCCACCCTGGGCTTGATGGCTGCCTGGTACTGCACCTGAGCTGATCACTGATGCAGGGCACAGGTGCCTCGGCAGAGCTGCTGGGTGATGGTGTCTAAGGGCAAGGGGCTGGCACTGAGGGGCGTCCTCGGCTTGCAGGGGGGCTTCGGGATCCTGGAGGAGATGTGCGTCAACTACGTGCACTACTACCCTCAGACGCAGCTGGAGCTCTGCAAAAGCACTGTGGACGCCGGCTTCCTGCAGAAGTATTTCCACCTGGTGAACAGGTGACTTGTCTGCCCACACTCTCAATTCCCAAGGACACGGAGAGCCCGGATGGACACTGTTGGGAGGAGCATGAGCGGGAGGAACCCAGACCAAGTTCCTGGAGTGGGGCTAGCACGTGTAGCCCCCTAGACCTCCAGCCCACTCTGCCGCCCAAGGTGTCCATGCAGGCATCACTAGTCATCCCCTAGCTCATGATCTGGCCCTGGAGCAGACAGACAGACAAAGCCGCGGCCACATGGAAGCCGGGCCTGGACATGGTCTTAGGAAGCTGGGTGAGGGCACAGGGCCTGGAGGAGCAGCGCTGCTGCCCTGCTGTCCCCGACAGGCCACTCCGTCCATGCAGGTTCAACAGTGAGGAGGTGTGCACCTGCCCACAGGCCTCTGTGCCAGAGCAGTTCGCCTCAGTGCCCTGGAACTCCTTCAGCCGTGATGTGCTGGCCGCCCTGTACGGCTCCGCCCCCATCTCCATGCACTGCAACAAGTCCTCGGCCATCCGCTTCCAGGTGCGTCCTTGTCCCCAGGGCGTGGGGCTGCAGGGACCCGGCTGGTCCCCCTTGGCCACACCCCTGCTGGCGCCCGGCCTGCAGGAAGTGGGGGTCCTCAGCAAGGGGTGGGGGCTGGACCCCCAACGGTGGGCAAGAAGCACTCAGGCAGGGGGTGACAGATGGGGCCCACGCTCTGAGGGGACAGACACGTAACACTAACACCTGGTGGGGCAGAGTGGGGCGGGCCGGGGCTGGGGACAGCACAACACAGTGAATCTCGTCCCTCACTGGAGTGGGGGCAAGCAGGGCCCTACAGCCTCCCCCAGAGCGAGAGAAGCCTGCAGTGTGCAACCTGGGAGCCTGCCTCGCTCCTTGGGACCCAGTGGGACTCAAGGCTCCTGATTCATTCCCTGCCGCGAGCTGTGGGCCAGGCCATCAGGGCTCCTGCTGGGCACCGGGGCTCTGCAGCTGGGGTCTGGGAAGCTGCCCATGCCTGGCGTCCTCCGGGAGCTGGGTCCATCGCTGAACAAAACGCCCTGGCATGGGGGCAGCATGGGGCAGACAGCCGACGCGGCTGGGAACCTGGCATTCATTCGATGGCATCGTGTCTGGGGCCGAGGCACCCCCGGCAGTGGAGTGGAGGTGGGGAGGAGATGGGAGAGGCCTGGATGGTGCTGGGGCTCTGAGCAGGTAACTGAGCTGCTGAGAGGGGCGTTCACCCCAGGTGGGACCCCGAGGAGCCGCTGGGGAGGAAAGCTCAGTTCGGATGGGGGGAATGGAGGGCAGGAACCCAAGGGACTCCTTTGCCCCAGCCTCAGTTGACCTCCTGCCCTTCTCTGCAGGGTGAGTGGGATCTGCAGCCCCTGCCTGAGATGGTCTCCACCCTGGAAGAGCCCACCCCACAGTGCCCACCCAGCCTGGTGCAGCACCCTGCCGGCCCCACCGTGGTCAGCCTCAGCCGCGGAAGAGGCTGAGAGGGGCCCTGCTCCTGATCCCCACTTCACGCCGTCCCCGGGGCTCACACTGGTTCTGTGCACCCCACCCTGTGAAGGCCCCATGGAGAAGCCATCGCGGCACAGCTGCCTCTCCCCGGGCCCCCCCGGCGTGGCCAAAGGTCTGTGGGACAGACCGTAGAGAACAGGACCGAGGGGTCTGGGGCCTACCCGGCACCCCTGGGACAGGCTCGCCCCAACGCCATGGCGCGCCCCCTTGTCTCTGCTGGTCCCTGTTGGTGTGTGCGGTCCCAGTGCTACTTAAACGGCTCCCTATAGCGTGGCTGTGCTTCCTGTGGGCGGCTTCCCCGCTGCGAGGCAGGACGGGCGTGGGGCTAGCCAGAGGCTTGCCTGGGAAATTTCTTCATTGCACAGCAAATAGTCACCCACCTGGGGGAAACCACAACACTCCCCACCGTCCAGAAGGAGCCGGCCGAGAGCCAGCAGGATCCCAGGGCTGCTCGCTGGGAAATGTCAGGGTGGCCACCGGCTTTGGCACATTGGGGCCAGCAGGGGATGGGACAGGCTCGGGACTGAGACCACGCTGTCAACCCCTGGTCCACCCCTGGCCCGGGAGGCTCTGCTGAGCGGCTGTTGGAGCCAAGGTTCCCACACCTGGTTCGGAGCCTCCTCTCTGGCCCAGTGTGCCAAGTGTGCTGCCCGTGGCCGGGCACTGCCATGAGCCTCAGGCCGGTCGGGGTCATCACTGGTCCCCCGAGCTGCCCCCACCTAAGGCCGGCTCCGCTCTCTGACAGATTCTGGAGGGAGTGATGGATTCAGCTCTGTCCAGCCACGTCAGCGAAATGCTGCCTGCCCCAGGAAGCAGAGGGTGATGGATGGGCCCCAGGTCTCCGCAGACACCAGCTCAGCAGCTGCACTCCCTCCGGCTGGCACTTTATTATGGGAGTGAACGCACCCAGCGCTCGGCACCACACACTGTAAATCATGGCCGTCCGCCCCTCTAAGTCAGGCTGGCAGTGCAGCCAGAACGCTGGGCCCTCTGTCATCTTCACCATCCTGGTGACAGGGGCAGCAGCCTCTCCCTGACTGGCCACTGCCAAAGACCCTAGGCACCCCAGGCTCTGGGAAGGTGGGAGCTCGCTGGCCCATGGCAGCCATACCTCCCACTGCAACTGCACCCCAAGCCCCGAGGGGCCCTGGTGTGTGCCACACACAGGTAGGAGACAGGAGACGTGCCTCCCCTGTGGGCCCAAGAGGACTGCGACTGGGAATCACCGCAGCTCCACAGTGCCATCCACAGTGGCACCCCCAAACTCAGTCCCCCCACTCCCGCTCCCCGCCTGGCTGCTCCCCTCCACAGAGATCTCCCCGGCACACAGTGCCCCCACCCGGCCAGTGTGGCCAGTGCATCCCACTCCGCACTCGGCTCTGGGCCAGCATAGGGAGCCTGCGGGCCCCCTGTCTTTCCCTGGATGGATGAGGAAACTGAGGCCTGGAGACCTAGAGCAGGTGCCAGTGTCCCCCGGAGCGAGCCACGGAGCCTGGAAGGGACTGGGCAAGGTGTGGCAGCTCCAGGGTGTGGGCACCCCACCTCCACTTCCTCATTCATGAAACAGGAAGCCCAGGGCAGGGGTTACCCAGGAGGACACAGGGACAGCACTTGTGGCCGGTCAGTGGGGGCTGCCTGGCCAGGTCGTCCCCAGGCCTCAAGGCGAGGGATTCTCAGGCTCCGCCCCCCAGAATTACTGGGATGTTGGAAAGAGCCTGGGGTGAATCTTGCTGTATGGGCCTGGGTCTCCCCATGCAGGAGAGAGTGGCCTATGAGGGACAGCTTGAGGAGAAACTGAGGCAGGAGATGAGCAAGGGAGGACAGTGATGTGAGACCCTGTGTCATGGGATGGTGGCTCTCGGAAGGCTCGGCCACCTGCAGAAGGGGAGGGCAAGGCACGCAGACCTTTCTGGCTCTCCTCCTGTCCCCTGTCTGAGAGGCACCACCCTGAGGCGCAGTCATGGCCCATCCATCTCCCTGCGCCCTTCCTGCGCCTGGGACAGGCAGTGCTAATCGAGCTCCACTCACACTTCCCCGATTCCTGGCTCTCACCCAAGGGCTCCAGTCACCCAGTGCCACTCAGCTGAGCTCCAGCCTCTACTCTGCCCACCAAGTTTTACTGTGTGTCTTCTAAGAAGCTCACAGGGCTACAAAGCAAGGTCCCTGTGCCCGAGACAGTACAGGTTTGCTTCTGGGGGGCCTGGGGTGAACTAGACACAGACTGGTCAGTAGCCACTAGACAGGCCTCGGTAAGCTCTCTGTCCATTCCTGGTTTGGGGAACAGCAGGCCAGGCCCAGGCTTAGGACAGGGAGGGCCCAGGGGGTGACCAGTGTGTTCCTCCTGGGTGGCCTTGGCTCTCAGTAGATCCCCTTCATCCTCTTGTTCTCAGGGTCAAAGAGGGGTTTCAGGTGGACCTGGGCAGCGTAAGGGACCCCCATCCTCTCCAGGGCATAGTCCCCACTCTTCACGAAGTCCAGGGAGATCTAGGAGCAGAGGAAGGGACAAGGGTCACTCCCGTCCCTGGGTGGGCACTGGGTTTCCATCCACCTGTGTTGAAGCCCCCCCCGCAGGTGTGGGCAGAGTGGGAGGTCACATCCCACGTGCCCTGGGGGGGGGGTTGGATGAGAGGGCACCAGGTGGGCCCTGCAAGCCCAGGTCTGGCAGCCGGGGCCACACCCTCCGCCCCAGGAATCCCAGATCCCTGGGAAACAGGAAGGACTCTGGTGGCCCCTGGACCTGGGCCAGCATGACAGCTGTGCAGCAGAGCAGAGCAGGTTCTCAGGGGCAGGCAGGGATGGAACAGCTCTGGACAGTGCAGACTCCCCAGCTCATGCCCTGGCTCGGCCTTCCCATCGGCCCTTGAAGGCCAGGGGGTGGCACTGTGCCCAGCTTGGCTCAGCTGATGATGCCACACTGGCCATGCTGGACAGCACTCACATGGTGGGTAGCTGCGGGGGCCCCTGGGGCTCTGCCTGGGACTGGGGTCCCTGCTCGGATCCCTAAAAGCTCAGGATGGGGAGAGAAAGAAAAACTAACACAGTTTTCTACGCCACGGAGCTTAGGGGTGAGAGGGAAGGAAGACGGGCACTGAACCTGGGAGTGGGCAGCTCAGAGCGGGCACGGTCCCTGGCAACAACACCCCGGTGGCCAAAATTCTGTCCCCATCTGGCCCTTGCTCTCGAGATCGAGCAGGATTCTGTCTAGGAAGAAATCTGCGCCCCGCGCTGGTATATGTCCAATAGCCTGCAGGGCGGGGGCCCTGAGTCATAAACCGGGTAAACCCAAGATGTCCCTGACTGCCCAGCACGAGGGGCCCTCACGCAAGTCCTGGCCTCCAGTCTGGAAGTTTCAGCTTGGCCTCCTAGACAAAGTGTCCCTGAGCAGCAGGAAGGATGGGTGGCACTGTGCTTTGAGGGAGAAGGCTGGAGCCTGCACCCACTCCCCGGGCTTGAGAGGGTGAACCCGCCTGGGAGGGGACCTGGCTGGGTCCCCGGGGTCAGAGATGGCGGGGTCACCACGTCACCATGGACACTTATGAAGCCCCACATGGCGATGTGTCCCGAGGGGAGGTCGGGGGGATCTGTCCCTGTTCTATAAACGAGGACATGGGACCAGGGAGGCCCCTTAGCCAAGGTCACAGAGCAAGGAGACGGCAGAGTCCCCAGGCTCGTGATGTCAAGCTGGGTCCCAGCCTGGCAGCTGCACGCAGGGCCTGGCCTCCCCAGCTGCCATCTTCTGCCCGGGCACAGGTGTGCCCCTGCCCCGCCCTGCCCTGCCCATAGCTCTAGCCTGTGTGACTTTGGGGCTGGAGCCAGGCCAGCGCCTCAGGCCACGCTGGGCTGGGCACAGGGCCTCACTCGGGTCTGGGCCATGGTAGGTCGGCTCCCGGGGAAGATGCCACCCTGTTCTTCAGCACCCCTATCCATGGTGGACAGAGGGGAGAGGAGACAGACAGCCCCTTCCTCCCACTGCCCAGGGCTGCCCTACCCAGAGTCCCCAACCAGCTCCCGGGTGGACTGGGGTTGAGGAGGGAGGATCGTGGTCCCAGGAAGCGTCTCGGGTGACCCCAGTGCACCCCCAGCAAGAGGGTGTGCAGTGGCTCAAGGTCATGGTCTCCAGCTTCAGGAGCCCAAGGGCATCAGCCCCTGCCCTACACCTCCTCCAACCAAGGAAGTCCCAGAGCTGCCAAAGTCAGATCCTTTCAGAGCACAGAGACGGCAGGGCTGGGGGTGGCCAGGCAGTCCTTTGTGGGGGTCACAGGCTTTGGCCCCACCTCCCTCTTCCCTGCCACCCAGCCCTGGAAGGGCCAGGGCATGGGGCTCACCGGCCCGCCACTGGGGTCACGGATGTAGCCGTAGGCGATGGTCTTGTCCACGGTGAACCCGAAGTCGGCCCTCCGCACATGGCCCACCACCTGGCCGTCCCTCCAGATGGCTTCCAGCCCAAACATGGGCACCTTTCTGCATGAAGCAGGAGAGGCAGCTGTGACCCCAGATTCCAGGGCAGAGAATTCTGCTCCATCGCAGGCTGCAAGGAGCAGGTGGTGAACAGAAAACACGAAACCGCAGCTGCCCAGTGCCAACAGGAGCGAGCCCGTCTGTCTGCAGAGGCCCGGCAGTCTAAGTGTCACCCTATTCATCCTCTCACTGTGTTGGGTCATCTGTTGTCACAGTGTAACGACATTTCTCCACGATAGGCACTGCAGAAATCTCACTGTCACAGTTTTGAAAACTCAGACTGGGAGACAAAGAAATAAGTAAACTAAAATCACAGAAATGCAGCGCCCGGGGGGGTGGGGCCGGTGGCATCCGGACCCTGCAGTCCCCTGGAACCTACGCAGAGCGCAAAGGGCCTGGCAGGTTCCGATGCCACCTGGGTCCGCGGCTCCAGGAACCTGAGAACTGGGCCAGGCCCACAGCCCTCCTCCACCTGGGCCCTGCCCTGCCCTCTGCATCGCCTGGAATAAGTGGGCATGGCGGCCTCTCTCACCCGCTACAGGCCGGGGGAGGCTCTGAGAAGAGCAGGAGAGAGCAACTGATGGTAACTAGTGACCGGGCGGAGGCCCAGGCCTGCCCCTACCCGCAGAGGCGCCAGCCTGGCCCGGCAGCACCTCTAGCCTGGCCTCCATTTTCGGGGTGAGCCTTCCCTGTGTCCTCTGCAGCTCCACCCAGCCCCAGACATGGATCTGCCTCTGCCCCTGAGTGGAGGGCCACCAGCCCGGTCTGTCCCAGCTCTGCCGTCACCTGTGTGAGCCTCCACCAGCTGTGCGTCTCCGGGCCTCGGTTTCCCCATCTTGAGGGTGCCCTCTGGTGGTGGTGTCTACTGTGGACAGTCACCCACCTGGGGGGACAAGGACACTTACTCCTCCACAGTGAGGCACACGAGGCGCCGGCGGAGGCCCTCAGCCCGCTGCTTCTCCAGGGCCTCACGGCCCAGGAAGGGCTCGGCAGACTTGAGCTTGCAGGTGAAGGCCAGGCCGGCCTCCAGGGGGCTGTCATCAGGCCGCAGCTCCGCATGCCAGTGCCGGTAGCCTGGGGACAGAGAGACCACGGGTCAGTGCCCCACTGGGGGGACAGGCCCAGCCCTCCTGGACCCCAGAAGGCCCCCCGTGTGAGCCCCTGGAGCAGGCTGGCCTAGCACCATTAGGCTGGGGACAGCAGGGAGGACTTCGAGGGGCATTGGGGCAGCCCTGGGGGAGGGCTGGGAGTGGGGCTCAGGGCCAGCACGTGCCCTGAGCTTCCATGAGGCCCTGACTTCTGTCCCCCCTGCTGAAACACTCCAATCCCTCAGGGCAACCACAGAGCTGGATTCAAATCCCACCCTGGCTCTGTTTCCTGTAGACACTGGGAAGCACCTCACCTGTCAGTGCAGCTGTGGGCTGGTGTGGGACCCCAATGCTATCTTGGGGGCCCTGCACAGGACAGCTGGTGTGTGGCCACGGGAGGGTGGGGAAATGGACAATGTTGGGAGAAAGAAAGAGTGGAGTGGAAGGGAGGCCCCAGGGCCCTCCAGACCCAGCACCCACCTTTCTCGATGCTCAGGGAGTCGATGGCGCGGTACCCAGCATTGACTAGGCCGTGCTGGGCTCCTGCAGCCATCACGGCGCGGTACACAGGCAGGCAGGAGGCCCTGGGGACGTGCAGCTCCCAGCCCAGCTCCCCCACAAAGGACAGCCGCATGGCCCTGACCTGGGGAGATGTGAGCACCGCTGGGGACAGCCAGGCGGAGCACGAGGCCCAGACCCAGCCACCGCCTGCCAGGGACAGTGCCCGCTGTCAACACTGCCATCAGCCAGCCCTGGCCTGGGCCAGACTAGGAAACAGAGCCTTCAAGGCAAGGAAGTAGGGCTGCTCTGCACCCTCACGGAGGACGGGGCCCGGCTATGGGAGTGGGGGGTGCTGTGTTCGCTGTCCCCAGATCTAAGTAGCTGTTCGTTTACTAGTGGTCACACCAATGAGCTCAAACTGGCCTGAAGCAATAGAAATGAACTCTCTGGGTGTCCAAACCAAGAGGGGCAGGTTTCCCGGGAGGGTCCTTCCCATCCCTTCCAGCTTCTGTGCTCCGATGCCTGGGCTGTGGCTGCCTCCCTCAGCCGCGGGCCCTGTCTTCACATGGCCTCTGCTTGTGAGGAGTCTGTGGCTCTTCTTCCATCTCTGGATTGCTTTGATTACTGAATTTCGGCCCCAGCCTCACCTTAGTTACATCAGCAAAGGCTCTGCTTTTAAATCAGACCACATCACAGTCTGGGGACAGGGTCAGGGCGCTGACAGACCTCAGGCAAGCCTCGGGTCCTGCACCTGGCCTCACTGTCCCTGTCAGATGTGGGGACAGGAGCCCCGGGCTGCCCTCCCTAGAAGCCGCTGGCTGCACTTGGTGGGTACAGAAGTCTCAAGAGGAGGGGCTGGACCTGGTGCTCTAGAAGTCGGCTGCACCCTGGCGTGGCCAGCCTGGCCAGGCGCTGGGATCTGCCCCCAGGGCTTGGGTCCCAGCAGGAGCAGACACAGTGCTGGGAGGGAAGGCCCTGGCCCGGGGTATAGCCCTGACTGGAAGGCCAGGTCTGCAGATAGCTGAGCTCTTCGCATCCATTCCACCCCTCAGGGCCCGTGGAGGTGGGGCCACGCTGCATTATGTCCTCCCAGAATAGAGGTGCCCAGAGGGGCACCCAGCCCTGCCGGGAGTGTCCCATACACGACACACTAGGGAGGCCACGACCAGCATGGGCAACTCCTTGCCCAGGGGGACGTAAGCTTTCTGCACATTTGCTTTGAATGCAGGTCACCTACATCCAGCAATTGCCACCTGCACCTGGCCCCCCGGAAGGCCCTGGAGCCCAGTGTCCCATGGGTAAGGCCTGACTGCTCAGCTGGGGAGGCTGCAGAGCTCCCAGAGGGACGCAGAGGTGCGGGGCTGCCATGTGCGGAGGAACAGGGAGAGAGGCCCAAGTCTGTGTGTCTGTGCCGTCTGCTGGCCACACCAGCTCCTCTCCAACCTGACGCCTAATTGCATTGCTGCACCTGCCCCCGGGCCTGAATTCCCAAAGCTTTTAAAACAGTGCGAAAATGCTCAAAGCTGCCATTTGCCCGTGCCTCTCAAAACCTCAAAACTGATGCCGAAAATGTACCGCGGACATTTCTCAGCTCGCCTGGTGCCAGCCATAGGCCCCTGACAAAGATGGCCTTGGATTCTAATTTTAGTGGGGCCCAAAGCCAGCCTCCCTTGGAAGCAGGAAGAGGGCTCTGAGCGTGCACTGGAGCTGCCCTCCACCGCAGACCCTGCTTGGACCAGGGTCCTCACCACGCCATGGGCCGTGAGCAGGGAGACTCTGGGCTGAGCTCTCTCACCTCCCTCAGAGTCTGGGGGACTGGGCCTCCATCTCCTCTGGGTCCCTGGCCCCAGCCCAGCCCAACTCCCTGGCTCCCAGCACAGAGAGGGCAGGGCCTGGGAAGTGTGTTTGCCTCCAGAGTTCGCACAATCAGTGCTTCTCTAGCAACTGAAGCAGTGCAGTTGGAGGAAGTCTCATTTCTTTCTATTAGGGACACAGGAAGGGACAGGGCTGCGACGATGACATCTGGAACTCAGCTCCCGGTGGCCCAGGCCTGTGTGGAAATGGCCCCTGCCAGCCGCCCACAAGTACCAGCCTAGCTCAGCCTCAGTGCTCTCGTCTAACCGAGGGCTCATGAGCAGCAGGTCTACAGAAAGCGCAGGGCCTGGCACCCTGGCTGCCACTGACTGTTAGCTCGGGTGGCTCTGAGAGTCCCATGTGGCAACGGAGCCCTTGCAGGATGGAGCCCCTCGCAATGGATGAAGTTGTGGGGCTGGGAAGGCTGGCAGGAAGGACCTCACCCCGGGTTTTGTGCAAAGTCTTCTCTTGCCCTAAAGATCACACACACACAGGAATCTGACAAAGTGTCAGGCTGCAAAGCCAACACACAAAACAGCTGTGTTTCTATACGATAGTGATGAACACGGGCCAGGGATTTAGCTCAGTGGTTCCGGCGCCTGCCTTGCAAGCACAAGGTCCCAAGTTCGATCCCCGGTACCAAAAACAAAACAAAACAAAAAACAAAACAATAGTGATGAACAATCCAAAGAAAAAAATTAAGATAATTCCATCTACAATGTCATCAAAAAGAATAAAATATCTAGGAATACCCAAGGAGGTGAGAGAAATTAAGATAACACAAATAAACTCACAGATATCCCGTGTCCTTGGACTGAAACACTTCATACTGCTAAGAGGTCCAAGCTACCTAAAACAATCTGAGATTCAATTCAATACTTATCAAAATCCAATGCATTTATTTTGCAGACATAGAAAAAAATGTATCCTAAAATTCATATGAATCTCAAAGAACCCCAAATGGTCAAATCGGTTTTTAAAAAGAGCGAAGTGAGGGACCGGGATTTAGCTCAGTGGTTTCACCGCCTGCTACACAAGCGCAAGGACCCGAGTTCGATCCCTGGTACCAAAAAAAATAAATAAATAAAGAACAAAGTGGGAAGAATCATATTCCTGACCTCCAAACACACTGTGGAGCGACGGTAACCAAGACAGTGCGCTGCTGGCAGAAGACAAAGTCGGACTGGTGGGGTAGAAGAGAACAACCAGAAGTGTCTCCCTGCAGATGATCAACAACGCCACAAGACTGACAAATCTGTTTCCATAAATGGTATCAGGGCTGGGCATGGTGGCACAGGCCTGCATCCCAGCACTCAGGAGGCGGAGGCAAGAGGATCACTGCAAGTTCAAGATCTTCCCGGGCTACATAGTGAGTTCAAGGCTAGCCTGAACTATAGAGCGAGACTGTGTCTCAAATAAATAAATAAATAAATAAATGGCATCAGGAAAACTGATTATTCAGGTGTGGAAGAACAAGGCTGGACCCTTACCTTATACCTTATACTAAAATGCACTCCACTAGAATAAAGATTGAGCCACAGAGCCATCATTATAAAACTTCCAGTGCCAGGGAGTTAGCTCAGTGGTTCCAGCGCCTGCCTTGTAAATGCAAGGTCCCAAGTTCAATCCCCGGTACCAAAAAAACACAAAAAACCAAATAAAACTTCTAGAAGAAAATGTAGGGGAATCAGAAATGACAACAATTTCTTGCCTGTGATGTCAAAAGCATAAGAAACAAAGCAAAAATACACGGATGGAATGCACCAAACGCAGGTGCTTTGTGCACCAAAAGACACAGATGAAAAGGCAGCTTATTGGATAATGGGTCAGGGTCCATGATGTACAAAGGGATCCTACAGCTCAACAACAACTACCAGACTTTAACTCTGGTGAAGCATTTGGACAGATATTTCTCAAAGGTGATTACTCATGGTCAAGCAGCACCTGAGGAGATGCCTGACATCACTAATTATTAGAAGGCAAAGTGGTGTGGTAGCTATGGCAACAGTATGGGATACCGGAACCACTCTGTGATCCTGCAATCCCACTTCCGGGTGTGTACCCCAAAGCGCCGAGGACAGCAAAACCGAGAGGTGTCTGCACACTCTCACTCCTGGAATCACGACTGCCCGACATCCACCATCACTGGTGGATAAGCCCTGGGTGGCCCGTCCACTCAGCAGGACAGTGCTGGCTTTAAAAACAAAGGAAACGGACGCAGTCTGCAGCATCGACGGGCCATGAGGGTGTCAGCTGAGTGCCACCAGCCAGCCCCCAGGACAGGCACCATACGATTCCACTTCTCCGAGGTGCCCGGAACCATACAAAGCCGGGCCGGGGCTGGGAAACCAGTCTGTGCAGGGGGCGCAGAACTCCAGCTCTGCAAGACTGGCCAGCTCTGGGTCTGCTTCACAGCCATGCAGGCAGACGCCACTCCATGGCACAGTGCACTTCACAGGGGGAAAGTGGCGAAGCTGAAAAACCAACCCTCTCTCCAAGGACAGGACACCAAAGCCAGGGGGGCCCGGGTCGGCACTGTCTCCTCGGCCAGGGCCAGCGCCAGAGGAACCAAGAGGGAGGCAGGGCCCCGGCACAGGGAGCAGACCTCGGGGGGAAAGAGGGTAGGGAACAGACACTGGAGAGAAGAGGAGACGGGACTGCCACCCACGCCCCACTGCTGGTCACAGCCAAAGGAGATAAAGTCCGCATGTGAGAGAGACACTGCACCCCTGTGTTCATCCCAGCACAGCTCACAATGGCCAAGGTAGGGAACCAACCTAAGTGTTCATCAACCTCTGGACAGATTAAATACAGTGTAAACACATGTGGTGGAATACTATTCAGCCATGAAAAAGAGTGCATCCTGTCATTTTCTCCATTGTAGACAGAACGGGAGATCACTATGTTAAGTGAATAGCCCAGGCACAGAAAGACAAATGCTGCGTGACTCACTCACAGGTGGAATTTTAGAGCAATCCCCTAGAAGGTAAGAGTGGAATGGTGGTCAGCAGGACCGGACAGAGGCTGGTCTGTGGGCACTAAGTTCTGGGTAGGTAGGAGTGACTGGTGTGGCTGTTGACAACGGAGAAGGCTAGAAAAATAGGATTTTAGGAGTTGTATCATGAAGGGATGATCCCTGTGTGAAGAGAGAGATACGCTAACCCCAGTCAAGCATTGCACAGTGTGTCCCATCGACATCGCACGGTACCGAAAGATGGACCCAGACCAGGAAGAGGCGAGAGCAGCCCGGAGGGCGGGAGCCGCTGCCCCCTGGAGCTCGGAACCCTGTCACCAGGGCCTAACTTTGGCTCTGCAAATCAGGAGGTGGCCCGGGAAGCTGAAGACCCCTTCCTGTGCGTCCCTGCCCCACGGAGCCGCCCGCCTGCAGTACCTCCTCAGGGTGCCTGACTCCTCCACCACGGGACGCAGCTCCAGCCCCGCCAGCTTCGGTGAGCACAATGCCGGTAATGACCACGGTTCTGCGGGGGTCAGGCCCTCCCTGGCCCTGGAGGGGATTCTGCAGGTGGCACTGGTCCCCAAGGGCCAGAGGACCCTCCCTCTGCCTGTCACCTATTTGACTGGCGCCATGGTGGGAGTGGCGCAGGGTGGCGGGCACGGGGGCCTCTCCCTGCTCTGGGCGACAGAGCACCGTGTCTCTGCCACTGGCAGTGCCTACTAGAGCACTTGGTGGTCAGCAGGGACAAGGGTTACCAGCTGCCACAGCAAGGCCAGAACCTGGGCTCATGGCTCAGGGCACACCATGGGTGGCTGGTCACGCAGTGTGCTTCCACACGAGGTCTCTTGCCCGGAAAGAAGCAGCAGTGACCCAAGGCAGCAGGAGGGATCCCCATGCCACAGATACCCACCTTCAAGGCTCCTGCTGGGTCCAGGCACCATCCAGGCACCATGGGGACAACTCCGCCCCAGCCCTCCCAGCTCCCTCGGCTGACACAAGCCAAATGAGGGCACCGCCACCCACCAGAGCAGGCACCCAGGCAGTCAGTTTGCCTCATGAGGTGGTCACAGCCGAGATCGCTCCCGTCAGGGTGCAGTCAGGGCACCCAAGTTAGTCAGTAAAGGAAGCTGGGGCTCAGGGCAGTCGGGTCTCTCGCCCAAGGCCTGGTGCTGTCCTGGACAGTGACCGCTGGCCCGGGGGGGCGGGGCTTTTCCGGAGTATTTCCGGGGTGGATTTCAAGCTGCGATGACTGAGCACCGGCTCAGTAGTCTCCCTTCACTTGGACCCGTCCGCTCCTCCTGCTGGGAGAGCAGGTTCAGACCCCTGCAGAGAGGGCCTCGTGGGGCAATGACAGAGCAAGGGTCCCCTCGGTGTCCCAGCTTGGGAGCCGAGCCCAACGACAAGCTACTCTCGCCTGCACTGGACTTCCGAGCGCCACTGGGTGGGAGACCCTGTGCTCAGATGGGAGGGAAGAAGTGTGCATTTGGGGACGGGACCCTGCCGTGGCACGCCGCTGTGCTCCCACCAGCTTTGCTGTGGAGCCGACTCAGACCGCAGGGAGGATGGGAGGCTGAGGGAGGTCAAGCCTGGGCATGTGCGGCACCTGAACGAGCCAAGGGTGGAAACGTCGTCCAGTGCTCTAGCAGGAGCTACATCCAGTGCTCTAGTCCTCTCACCATCAGGGAAAGAAATCCAATTTCCCTTTGACTTGAAATTAATTTTCAGAAGAAATTGCTTTATCGCTATGCCTCAGGACAGCTTCCAGCCGGCTTCTGCTGCTTTGCAGAGAGGACCTGTCCTCAGCCAAGGGTCCTGTCCTCGGCTGAGGAGCCGGGGACACTGTGTCTGGCCCAGGACTAGCTGAGCTGAGCTCCAGGAGACACCCTGCCCCCCGGGAATCTCACTGGCCTCCAGGCAAATATTTGGGGAGCAAGGACAGCTGGTCAGACGGCTGCCAAGTAGACAATCGCCTCCCCCATCCCTTCCTCCTCTAGGAATCCAGGGACTGCATCATGGGCTGACACAGGCTCTGGGGCCTCAGAGGAGCACCGCTGTGAACTGGCGGCAGAGGTGTCTGTGGGCCGCTGACTGCCGTGGCCTCTGCAGGGGTCACAGCTTCAGTCACCTCCGGCCTCTGCAGTTCATCATTCTGGGAGGCTTGCGGGGCCAGGAGATGATGCCGACTGCTCAGCACACATTCCTCTTGTGCAGCTGGCTGGGCCGGAGCCAGCTGATCGCCGATAGACGCTTGGCCAGGCTCATGCTCGGGCCCCAGAACCCTGCACAGCCAGGACAGCTCATCAACGCGTTCTGAAGCCAGCACATGATATCGTTTAGGAGAATGTGAAATTCCCCAGGATCTGGAGAGGATTCAGCATCTGGACAGACCGACAGGAAGGCCCAGAAAGAATTTTAGACATCCTCCAGACTTAGTGCTGCAGATGGGGAAACTGAGGCCCGGAGACGCGTCCCACAGAAGGCTGAGGCAGGACAGAAGCCAGGCATCTGGCTCCCCCAGCTTGGGGTGTCTGGCTGGTCTGCTCCTGTCTCCCACCTGCCTGGGGGCCCCCATGGAGCCTGGCAGTACTCAGCTTCTATCCCCAGAGTCCTGACCCGGTGGCACATTACCCACTGCAGGCCAGGAATGGGCAGGTCCCTGTGTCCCAGGTTTGGGCCACATGGCGGTGAGTGGCCTGGGCCACTGAGTGACAGCCTTCCCGGCCAGCCAAGGCCACCCATGGACACCAAGGGACAGGACCTTGCTGTCTTTTGCCCTCAGGAGAAGGTGGTGGGAGGGGGGCCAGAGTCCCTGGCTGGGCTCCGACCTCAGCCTCCCGGCCCGTGTCTCACAGGAGCTGGGTCACCAGCCACTGGCAAGGCCTGCCCTTGAGGACAGACCCTGAGGTCAGAGCGAAATGCCAGGACTGGGCTGAGAGTCCCCAGCGGTGCCACTGCTGGCTGGGGCCTGGCCTCGCTCACAGACATCCCATGAGACCATGAGGCTGACGGGCCCGGTGTCCTCCCAGGCCAGAAGGTGCCTCCCACAGCCGGTCTCCCCGAGCGTCACCGGGTTCCTCCCCACTGCCACACAGGCCACGTAGCGGGCACTGTCCCGTACCCAAGCTGGCACAGCATAAGCATAGCCAGGAGCACGGACGCCAGAAGACCGCAGGGTCAGCGATAGCCACATCATGCAAGGGTGGCCCCACAGACGCCCTTCACACTCAGCCCCAGGCGGAGAGGCTGGGCCGGCAGTGTCTGAATGCAGGCCCCGGAACGCTTGACCTGACTCATGTTTCAGAAACGTTCCCGGGGGCCCACAGTGACACCGTGTGGGGCTCCAGGTCTTGGCCAGGTGGACCAGCAAGCCGAACCCCAGCATCTCAAGGGAGAAGGAGGCCCAGTGAGGCCAACGTCACTCTAAGGGTGACTTGCTAGAGTGAGGTGTCGCCCGGCCTCTCCGCTGCACACTTACAGCTGGAACAGAAGATGAGATATACCCGTGTGCTGGGGGTGGAGCAGGGCCTTTGCCTTGGGTTACCTCCACAGGGTCAAGCTAAACTGCCCAGGCTGGGCTCCAACTTCGTCTCCCCCTGCCTCAGCCTCCCAGAGTGCCAGGACTACAGGTGTGCGCCACCAAGCCCAGTTTACTCACCAGTCAGCCAGTCCCAGGGGACAGTGAGGAGAGGCGGCCAGCATGGCTCCCCCTCCCGTCAGGCAGCCCAGCCAGGCTTGGGAGGCCGCCAGCCAGCTCAGGGCCGGCCCTAGAGAGGGAGGCAGCTGAGCCGCCGGTCCCAGAGGCCTGGGCTTTGGCGGGAGGGCCCGTGTTCCCACCTGGTCCTCTCCCTCGCACACCAAGCCACACACAGGCTGAGCCCACGCCAAGCCTCGGGGCTCCCTCCCCTTCGCAGATAAGAATGGCAGGACGGAGCTGGCGCAGCCCTGGGCTGGATGCTGCCGTGGCCTGGGGGTGCACTGGGCCACCCTCTCCGAGCGCCACCCTTTGGTCCCCTCAGGAGGCAAGTGAGGCCTCAAGGACGGCGGGTGCGGCAGAGCCACCATGGAGAGCCTCCCCTGTCCCCCACTCCGGCGGCTCCTCCCCTGCAGTCACAGCCCAAGTTTATTTCCTGTTAGGACCCAGGCCAGCATCTCCCCCAGCAACCCCAGGATGAGCACATGGGAAGTAGAAATGGAGACAGCGTGGTCCTGCACCCCTACAAGGCCCCGATGGAGTTATTGGCCTGGGAGCCCCGTCCACCGAGCTCAGCCCAGACAGCATCCCCTGGCCTGAGCCTATGGCAGGGGGCTCTGCAGCTGGGGACACAGAGTGAGGTTCCCAGCAGTGACTGCCCCACCCTGGGGACGCATAGCCGTCTGCATGCACTGTCACTGCTACAACAGGGGATGCTGCCAGCATCTCGCACAGAGGCCAAAGTGGTTGCCAGGCTCCTGAGGTGCCCAGATGGCCCCACCCAGAGTGGCCTCCAGGGCAACTTCCCCGGGCACAAGCCCAGGCTGGAGCGCATAGGAAGGCAGAGCATGGTGGATTCGGGGCCTTTGGTGATGATCACTGATCGGCCAGCTCCTACCTTAGCCAGAGAGGCCAAAGCAGGAAATCGGGGTGCTTACTTCCCAGCGAGGAAACTGAGGCTGGAAGCAAGAGGAGTTGGCCAAAGTTGGGGTCCCTGAGGAGGCCCCTGCCCCGGAGCCAGGCCTGACTAAGCCCTGGTGCTGACCCACCCAGTCTCCATGGAGACCGGCCAGTGGCAGCTGCCCAGTTGTGGCCAGCCCTTTACTTCCAGGGAGCCCCAGGAGGTAGCAGCGCCCCGACACAGGAGGACAGCCTATGCCTTCCACGAGGAAGGGACCCGCAAGGTGGCAGTGCAGGGAGCAAGACCCCTGGGTGGAGCCCTGAGGTGTCAGGTACCGGGAAGAGGTGGGCCGAGGCTGAGATTTTGCCTGAGGTCCTGCCAGCCTGTGGCCAGGGCTGCCTGGTCCCCATGGTCCCAGAGTCCCAGCTGGTGAGCAAGGCCCACGGGGAGGGGGTTCTCAGGCACCGCCCCACACTGCTCCCACCCACACAGGGGACCTGGCTTCTGGTACCTACCAGGTGCCCGGCGGCCTGCACCAGCTGGTGGGTGGAGAAGGAGAAGGCAGCGTCGCTCAGGTCTGCGTCCAGCACCTCCTGCAGGATGGCCCGGCTGAGAGGGGGACAAAGGGGGCAGTTAGCCAGCCACCAGCGCCCCTACCCACTCCACACCCCGGAGAGCAGCGGGGAGGCCTGGGGCTGCAATGAGCGGAACCTGGCCCTGTCCCCGGGGGGACCATCACCGAGGTATTCATGCAGACACCATAAGCAGTACAGGCCCCAAATGCAGCAGGTGCAAAGCCCACCTTCCCAGGACTCATGCTAGGCCCCAGAACAGGCTGCCAGGCTGGAGCCGAGCTCTGCTCTCCCCGAAGAGATGGGAGACAGGCCAGCTGTCCACGACCACTGTCCCAGACTGCACTTGGGTCAGCAGAGCTGGTCATGAGACCAGCTAGCTTGGTGGCCTTTGTTTCCAGCACTGGACGGCCTGGTCCTGGCCATGGCCATCCCAGCAGGACACCGTGCTGCTCTGCCCGGGGCTCCAGTGAGATGCCGCCCTGTGAGCCCACAGGCAGCAGGTCTGAGAGGAGGTAAGACCCTGAGCAGCACCCAGCAGGTGCCCAGAGCCCCTCACTCTTCTGAGGACAGGGGCTGCACCCACTGCCCCCCGCCACGTCCCAAGCCCGCATGGTCACCGTCTGTCCTCCACTGTGGCCCGGGAGGTGCCCACTTGCAGAATCCACCTCCGGCTCTGAGCTCCTGGGGTCCCCTCCTCACTGCCCTGCCCCTGCAGCCCCCACCCCATGTGACCTGTGACCCCTCAGCTCATGGCGTGGACCTCTCTCCCCCCAGGCAGCTGCCCAACTCCCTTCATCTGGATCAGGTACCCCCTTGCCCAGGGATACAGGGTCACCTGCCAATGTCTCCCCCTCAGGTTCTACCCACCCCCCACCAAAACAGGGACCCCAACAAGACCCACAGGACCCTGAATCCCAACCTGCCCAGCATAGAGAGGATGCTCCGGGGGCAGCACAGCACGGCGGCCCCCAGTTGACACAGCCCCCCATTTCTGCCCCTCAGGGGTCCCAGCTGGGCTGGGTTGTGTGGTTTGGGAAAGTGCTGCCGACCCCCATCCCCAGCTGCGGAGCTGGGAGCCGCCACCCATGCCCGCCTAAGGCTTGAGGCTGGGCTCCCGCGCTGCCTGCCAGGGTCTTTACATAACCTGGCACCCACGTGGTGGCAGCCGCTGCCTCGGCTGCCTGTGGAGCCCTGCAGCCCTGTGGGGGCTGTAGAGAGTGGAGGAACAGAGCTGCTCCTGGGGCCCGGGGCCGGGCGCTCTGACCTAGGCCCTGGTCTCAGCAGCACCCAGGCGGCCCAACAACAGGGCCACGTCAGGACCAGGCCCTATGCAAGACTCCGCCAGATTCAGCCTGTCCGCTAAACGGGGCTTCCCCAGAGAGAGGGCTCCACAGGGATGCCCAGAGAAGGGCCGGTTGGCGCCTGCAGGGCCGTCCCTCTGCCTTGCTCCCCACAGTGCCACACGGGGCCTTGGGCCTTGGCCGGGAGGTTCATTCAGATTAAAAACTCAGCCCCACCCTCCCATTTTAGGCTGGGAGGCCACACGTGGCTCGTGGCTGCAGCTCAGAGTGGTTTGTTTCCAAAAGCTCTGCCAGATTGCAGTTCCCAGACCCCGCCCGCCCTTCCAGGCCCAGGAGCCTAAGAGCTCGGCCTGTGGTGTCATCACGTGCACTTAGGAAACCTGGGCTTCCATTAGAAAGAGAGGATGCTGTGGAGGAGAAAGCTAAGAACTCTCTGCCAGGTGACTGCTCCCTTCTGCCCACGCCCGCAGCCTGGGCCAGCTGCTAATGAGGTTGCTGGCCGGGCCCTCCCTGCCCACCGGCCTCCTCTAGGCTGAAACGGCGGCTCCCCACCCAAGGTCACTGTGGCAATGCAAGCAGAGGGCTCGGGCTCAGCTGGGTCCCCCTTTACCCGGGCAGGTGAGGCGCTGGGGCCCAGGAGAAAGAAAACCACTCCGAAGCCTGGGCCTTGCTGCAGGCCGGCACCGGGACTGGGTCGCCTGTGCCATCTACTGGGTCAGCACCTGCTGTCCACTGCAGCCAGCCCTCTCCCCTCCTCAGGATCCAAAGACAACAGAACCTGTACCTCATCGTGCTGCTGCCTCGGGGACATGCACAGCCAGCTGTCCCTCAGAGCCACGCTCACCCCAGGAGCGCTCAGCAGCCACAGGCTGGCAGCCCCTGCTTCCTGGGGATCCTGGCTTCTCCCTGGCACAGTGTGCCCTCTCTGCACCCCAGAGGGACATCTCTGGACCATGGGCCCAGGGGTGCCGGGCAGGGGCCCTGCCCCCTCACCTGGCCGGGCCCTGGATGCTGATCAGGCCCAGGTCCTCGGAGCAGTCCACGAGCTGGCACCGGAAGCGCTGGTCCTGCAGCACCGTGGTGATGTGGCACCAGTTGTGCTGGGCTATGCCTCCACCCACAGCCAGGTAGTAGCCGTCGCCTGCAAGAGGAGCCGGGCTAGAACAGGACTCGGGACAGAGATGCGAGGGTGCCACTGCTGTCTGGAGTCCTGAGGCCCCATCTACTCTCAGGTAGACCTCTATGGGGTGAGTGAGGGGAACAGAGGCAGGAGCCACTCCCTTGGTCCTCCCAGTCGCGGGGGACATGAGCAGAGGCCCAAAGGCTGAGCCCCACCCTCACAGACAGCAGCATGGAGCCTCTCGAGCTGGTGTGGCCCTTCCTAGAGGGGAGAACCCCGGGCTCTGCCCTTCTCCTGGTAAGGACACCCCTCGGGATGGGAGCTGGGGTAGAGGTGACAAGAAGTGGACAGGACATACAGTGCTGAGCTGCCCGTCGCTGGGGGCATGCAAGCGGAAGGGAGGGATGAAGACGGCTGCTCGGGCATCGGCATGGACACTGGCTGAGCTGGACATGTGAGGCTTCCAGGCCTGTGACTGGGAGTCACGGAGGCCAAGAAAGCAGCTTGGCACAGATGTCAGTGGCAGGAGGCCACACTGGGATGGCTCAGAAGCAGCAGTGGGGTGGCTTCAAAGCCTGGGTGGAGCCTGCACCTCTCCACCTCTTACCTTCGAAGGCCGGGGCCACCGGGCAGGCCTGGGTCCCGGGGGCCAGGCGGCTGACCGTCAGGTCACTCTCCGTGCCGCCCCTGTGGTTCAGCATGCAGGTGTACACCGTGGAACCTGAGGACGGGCACCCGCGTCACCACAGCAGGGGGTGAGGGGTGGGGTGAAGGGCACAGTGGTCAGCTCCTTGGCCGGGTCACCCAGGCCGTGTCCTCTGACAGCCCTGCTCAGGGACTGCTGAGACCGAGTGACCCAGAGAGGGCCAGCGACGACAAGTCAACCATGGGGTCACCCTGCAGGTGGGGGTCCTCTCTTCCCCCTCCCCCATCATCCTCAGCATGCCAAGGGCCTAGTGACGCGTCCCTGAGGTCCCCAGTGGTAGGGTGAGTCCAGGTGGGCAAGGGGACAATGGCCAGGTGCGTGGGAAGTGGCGGGCGGGGAAGCGTGGGTGGCAGAGGTGGGTGGAGGGTGGGTGGGGGTGGAGGGTGGGTGGGGGTGGCCGGGAGGGTCCCCAGATGAGCAGAGAGTTGTGTGGGGCAGGGTGGGCTGGACAGACGGGCTCCCACTGGACACGCTGAAGCCCCCCCAGGACTGTGGATGCAACCGCATGGAGAAACGCAGTCCTTATCAGGGCTGCATTGTCCGGCGGGTGCAGCAGAGCCAGCACCGTGGCTTCAGCCTCCGGCCTCAGGGACGATGAGAGGCTCGGTCTCTAGGCTTTTTTAGGTCTCTGTAGTTTTAAGCCACTCAGCTTGTGAGACTGTGACACTGGAGCCACGGAGGATGAATAACGATGCGTACGGGTGAGTTTGGGGATTGGTAGATGGGTGAGTACCGCAAAGAGAAGAGTATCTCAGACGGAGGCTGGGCAGCACGATGCTAAAATTCCAAGGTAACCTGGCACCCTGCAGTCTTCACCTGGGAGCCCCATGGGGGTGGCTGCCCATAGGGCCAGGAGACAGGGCTGAGGGCCTGGCCACGCCCAGGGGACTGGGCAGGTGGAGCAGTGGCCAAGCCTGGGGTGATTCACGGGGTCCTCCTGGCTGGCAGAGGGGGGCACCCCCATACCTGGGGGTCGGCTGACGTTGGCAGAGAAGAGCCAGTCAGCAGCCCTCCTGGCGTCCGGCCCCAGCAGGTAGAACTTCCCGAAGTAGGACATGTCGAACACGGCGGCCGCCCCTCGGCAGGCCAGGCACTCCTTCTGGATCTGCAAAGGCCCCGTAGTGAGGGCTGGGCCCTTCCCAACAGCCATAGAGCCACACCTTCTGGCCTGCCAGGCCTTCCTGCCTCAGGAACACATGGCGGCACATCCTGCCCGAGTCCAGCCACTTTCCTGTTATGACTTCTATCTGGATGTCCCCAAAGCCTCATGGTATCTCAGATGGGACTTTGGGGAGGTTACTGGACCATGGGGCTTAAAACCGACTTGCGTTAGGAGGCGGGGCCAGGTGAGGGGGCGGGGCCTGGTGAGGGGGCGGGGCCTGGAAGAGTTCCTCTTCCTCCCTGGCTCCTCCCTTCAGTTGCTTTCCTGTCCCGGAGGGGCTCTCCTCTCCTGCACCCCTTTGAGTGGCCACCGGTCAACTATGGACTGAAATATGGTCCAAAACAAATCTCTCCTCCCTTAAGCTGTGGGTATCAGACCGTTTGTCCCAACAGCCAGGGAAGTGACTAGAACAGCAATCCAGGTCAACAACTGCTGACCAGCCGGTGAGGGTGGGCACCTTCAACAGGACTGACATCTGTATACAGGGTGCTCTTTGGCCACAGTGGAGTTAAGTGAGAAATCAGTAGCAGAGGAGAAATCGGGACATCCACAAATAAGTGGAAATTAAATGAGACACCCCTAAAGAACCACTGGATCAAAGGGGAAAATCACCAGAACGGTTAGAAACGGCTTCGAGGAGAACGGAAACAAAATGCAACAGACACTTCGGGGTGCAGCCAGTGCCAAGCTCGAAGCGGATTTATTCCCACATGGGCCCACGTGATAGAAGATCCCAACTCCAGAAACCAAGCTTCCTTTGCATGAAGCTGGAAAAAAGAAAACTAAGCCCAAAGCAGGCAGAGGTAAGTAAAATAGAAAAATCAGCAAAACCAGAAGTAGAGTCCTTGAAAAAGTGAACACAATTGACAAACCTTTAGCTAGGCCGACCAAGAGAGAAGACTCGAAGTCTGAAACGGGAAGCCAGCTTATGGAAAGCAGAGGGAGGGACAGCGGGAAAGACCACAAACAACTTCACAGCAGCAGAGTAGACCCGAGATGGGACAGACTCCCGGCAAGGCAGGAATCTCTAAACCTGGGTGGGAAAGAATGGAAAATAGTAATGGACCAGAAGAAAGGCGATAGAATTAATCCTGGGAAAAACAGCAACAAGGAAATGCCCAGTGGGCTTTGCTAGGGAGTTTCACCCAGCACTCAAAGAAGGCTCAACGATTCTTCACAAATTTCTCAGAAATTGAACAGAGATGTCATTCTGCTTTATCATAAGAGGCTAGCACTCCCTGATGCCAAAACGCAAAGTTGGAAGAAAACTTCGGGCCAGTGCCTCTTCTGAAGATAGAGGCACAGGCCCTCAGCAAACAAAGCAAACCAAGGGCAACTACACAGAGAAAGTGTCAGACACCCTCAGGTGGTCTGGGAATGCAAGGTCAGGGCAGTGCTTGGAACTAATGCATGCACCATAGTAAGAGAAGAAAAGACAAAAGCCATGTAATCACCCAACATCCAGCTCCTTGCGTTAAAAATACTTCTCAGACAGGGAGGGGACAGGCTTCCTTGGCCGACTCACTCACGAAGCCCGGCCCACACCGCCCTTCACCCTGGGACCCGGGCAGGGGCCCTAAGGTCAGAACCAGACAGGCTCTGCTTTCTACGTGGGGGACAAGGAGGCGGGAAAATGAAGGTCAGAGGCACCCAGTGGAGAAGTGAAGGCGTCCCTGTCTGGATATCGTGACTGTGAGTACTGGACTCGCTAGGAACTCGGTAGGAAACTGCTCAGCCAGAGGGAAATCAACTCAAATGTCCACCAACTGAGAAAGGACCAAGCGAGCGGGGCGGAGCCGTGTCAGTGCAACTGTCACACTGACGGAAGGAGACTGGTCACAGGGACTCTGAACGACCCGCTTGTCTGCCATGCACACTCGCGGTGGCACGGGAAGCAGGTGGGGAAGCCTGGGCTGGGGCAGGGATGGGGGGGCTCTCCGGTGGGGACTGGGCCTCCTTTGCAGGGAGAGGCAGGCATTCTGCAATGACCCTTGGGTGAGGTGGTGAACGCGGCCCGCGGACACTGACAAAGCGTGGGGTCTGTGAGTCGCAGCCCCACAAAGTGCTTCCCACCCTCCCTCCCTCCCTGCGTGTGGGTTGCAAACCCGCACCAGGTTGCTGCGGCCTTGCCGGGCCACGCTCTTGCCTACCTTCCCCTGACTCATGCCCAAGCTCGATGCCCACCTCACTGTCACCACTGGAAAAAACGACGGCGGCAGCAGTGGCAGCCTGGGCCGTCACACCCGGGGCTGCAGAGACGCTGCTCAGCCAAGCCTCGCGGAGCACCTCACCTGGGTGTGAGTTCACACCAGCTAGATGGGCGGAGCCAAGGGCCTGCCCACCCCAGGCAGCTGGTGCACACACCCGCCTGGGCGCGGGCCCTCGCTGGCCCAAGCCCTGGCTCCTCTGCAGCCTCCTTCCAGGCACTGACAGCCTTTACCAAGCACCCACCGTGTGCCAGGTGCCAGGGGCCCTACAGCGGCACGCTGGGCTGCAGACCAACCCTGAGACTGACGCCTTCGCCTGCAGGCTGGGGACGCTGCCAACACAGACAGGGAGCGTGCGCCTCGTGCTGGGGGCTGTCTCGGGCACATCTGCGGGGGCTGTGACACCCCTGTGCCAAGCTGGCGTCTCCCTCGAGCCTCCGCACCCCTGAGGGCGGGAGCCGCACAGCTCTCCGAGCAGCGGGAGCTGAGGTGCCAGACGCAGCCCGGCCCTCCCTGCACGGCAGCCGCAGAGACCAGGCACAGAGCCTCGGCTTCGGTCTCCCGCACCCTGGCAGACTGGAGCCAGGGAGCAAGTCGCGGGGACAGGGTGGGCACAGATGGCACCTTCCCTTCCAGAGCGGCCACGTCACAGCCGGCGTGAGACGAAGCATGGCCAGGGCTGGGGAAGCGCGGACGGTTTCCAGGCGACACTGACATCTTCTCAGCCACAGGCCCTGGGTGGCCAGAGTTGCCCGGCACCAGGACACTTCTCGGTGCTCCCCGCCGCCCCGGGCCTTGGTGCTGGGTGGGGGCCTCAGCTCCCTTGAACGTCATGGTGGGGTGACGGCATGTGGGGACGACACGGGTGATGAGGTCCCCTGAGGGCTGGGCAGGCACAGGGTCCCCTGACTGGGGGAGCCTGGCCCCAGCACTGTCGCCTCCACACCAGGGGCAGGGGAGCCAGGCACTCAGCCCCCGGCCCGCTGTGGCCCCCGAGAGCCTGTGGGGGTCTGATGCCCACAGCAAGCCCACTCCGCCCCGAGCCCCTCACTGAACCCCGCACAGCCTCGGGGCTCTGAAGGGCTCAGCCAGGGGCCGGCACTGGCCTGGGGCCGCACAGCCTTCCCCGGGCCTCGGGCTGCTGCCAGCCAGTCCCTGGTGCAGAGGAGGCGAGGGAGAGGAGGGGAAATGGAGGCGCGGCGGGAGGCCTGTCTCACCACGTGGTGCTGGGGTGGGAAGCTGAAGGTGTACTCGTCGGCCAGCAGCCGGGCGTAGGCGTAGTCCCGGTGAGGCCGCTTCCTGTAGGCGCCGTAGTAGTCGTACTCCAGGACCTGGACACAGCTTGCTCACCAACCGCCCGCCGCCCTCCTGCCCGCCGCCCTCCGCCAGCCTGGGCCTGAGGACGTGCGGCTGCAGCCCCGGCTCCCTGTCCCGCCGTGGGGCTGGGAGGCGGCTCAGATGCCCGGCCATCGCCCACACGGCCTGCCCCAGGCTGGCCGCCCAGCTCGGGAGGAGGGCAGAGGCGTCCAGGCGGCCATGACGCGAGATGCTGGCCACTCACCGGGGCCGGGCCCTGCGGGCTGAACCATCCGGGCCGCTCCCAGCCGTGTCGCTCCTGGAACACACAGCCTTGTCCCAGGAGCTCCTGCAGGGACACGAGCGCCTGTCACACGGCCGGACACCACGTGGGGACAGAGTGACCGTGGCCACTGTCACACCAGGGCACGGAGGACAGAGGGGCCTCCTGGCACTCAGGGCCTGGACCCTGCCCAGAGCCCCGCCTCAACCCCAGAACCCCAACCTGGAGACTGCACGAGCACCCCACCGATGCCCCTGCAGCCGCCCTGCCCACGTGTGACCATGTTTGGGCCAGGAAGTGACCACAGGAAGTGGTCAGAGTGGTCAAAGACCACAGGAAGTGGAAGTGACCTCAGGTGGTGGTCAGAGTCACCTGGGGTCAGGAGGACGGGGACCTCTGCTCACGGGTGGACTCCCCCACCCTGTGAGGGGCTCCCTGAGCCCAGAACAGGTGCCAGGACAGTAAAAATCTGCTATGTGAGGCCCTGTCTCTGGCACTGTGTTCCAGCAGCCTGAGCCACCTGTGAGACTCGGCCGCCTCGCTCCTAGGCAGTCCCCAGCACTGCTCCATCTTCAGAGGCCACTGTCTGCTGAAAGTAACCCACATGCACTCTGGACGGTGCTGGAATATTACTCAGCCGTGAAAAGGAATGGAGTTCTGACAGCACTGCAGTGTGGGTGGAACTCGAACCCGCTGAGGGAGGGAGAGCAGCAGGCACAAAGGGTGCCTTCCAGGGCCTGGCATGGGGATGCCCAGTGAGGGAGGCTCTGCTCCAGCCAGAATGCCAGCCGCTGCCCCTGCTTGTCCATCCACTCAACAGCCGCTCCCTGAGCCCCTCAGTGCTTGGGAAACAGGCTGACCAGGCCATCACTCAGTCCCCCAGGGGCAGAGCCTCCAGCGCAGGTGATGGGGATGGAGGGAGAAAGGCAGGAGGCACAGGGAAGGGACACTCAGGTCCCTGGAGATACAGGAGTACACACAAGGACAGGGCTCAAAGAGGGCATGGGATAATGGGTTTCACCATATAAACAGAAGCTCACCAGAGGGCAAAGAATTCCAAGCAGGTTCTCCAATGGGAAACCTGTCAGCCCACTGGAGTCTGGCTGCTCCTCTCTCTGATCTGGGACTGCCACCCAGACCCCGGGCCACATGGCTCAGCATCAAGCAGACTCCGACACGCAGTGCCCCGGGACGTGACACGTGGGGGCCCCACCCTGAGCTCCAGAGCCCCATCAGCCCTGCACCCCGGTACCTCGTGCAGGAGGCTCCTCCTCATATTGCGCCCCGCCAGCGGCTCGTCATGGGGGAAGACAACCGCGTAGTTCTTGGCGTAGGATTCGTGACTGCGCTCGCGGACCCAGCGCTGGTGTGCGGTCAGGGAGGGGTGGAAGCGCCTGCGCAGACGGGGCCGGTCACTTGGGGGCGGGGTGCTGCCAAGGCCCAGCCTGCACCCCTGGCCCTCAGCACCAGCCCACAGCGAGGGTCTCAGCCCCGGGGCCCTGGCCCCCGCGACCCCCTCCCTCCTACCAGCGTGGGGTTGCCTGGGCAGTGCCTCCCAGCCAGGTCCCCCGAATCTGCCGGGCAAAGCCGGCCTCAGCCTGGAGGACCCCGCTGGGCCTGGGGAGCAGCCTCGAACCCAGCCCCGGGCGGCTGAAGCAGTGACCCAGGCAGGGCCATTCCCGGGCGGCTGGGGCCTGGGGTCGAGGACCGGGTCCCACCGCGCTGCCTCTTGCTGACTTAGAGGCCAAGGTCGCTCCTGCAGCCCGTGGCCTCCCCCAGGGCCCCCTCACCCCTCTCTCTGCCCACAGGGACAGCAGTGCCAGGGCCTGTGGACTCCTGTTCCCCCTCTCTCTTCCCCCTGGGGGGTCTCGCACATGGCCATGCCCCACAGGGCTCCCTCCCTAGCACACCATCAGCACCTCTCTGCACCGACTGACCTGGCTGCACCTGATCTTACACCTGTTCACCACGTGCCGGGCACAGTTTGGAAATGTGCAGCTGGCCGGGAGGCCCCGTGGCTCCCCCCTCAGTGGTCAGAGTCCTCCAGGGGCTCCTGGGGCGCGGGGCACAGAGGCTGCTTGGCCGGCAGCAGTTCGGGAAGCTCGTACCCCTCCTCAGGCCCTGGACTAGGGCTGGGCCCTCCCTGTCAGACAGCCACAGACCCTGCTGCTGGGGCAGAGGGAGCCAGCAGGATGTGGGGCTCCTGCCCCAGCTGCTCCCTGTGGCTCCGGGGTCCTGGCAGCCACATCTGCCTGTGAGTGTGGGCAGAAGGGGACCTGCAGCCCTGCCGAGGTCAGGTGCAGAGGGAAGCGTCTTCAGCTTGTGCATCAGGCGTGCTCCAGGGTGTGGGGCACACGAGCCACAGCCCAGGGCGCGGTCACAGTTCACAGGCAAGGGGGTGACAGAGAGCTGGCCTGGGCCCTGCTCCTCCACCCCGGCCAAGTCGGGGTCTGGGAAGCAGAGCCCTCCCGGGGGCAGGACCAAGCAGGGCGACCCTCGGGCCATCGCAGAGCCGGCCTCTTTTGCAGCGTTTGAGGAGAGGCCAAGGACAGCCCACATCCGTCTGGAACTCGCCTCCCGGCCCTGGACTGGCTCCAGGGGCCTGCAGAGCAGGCCCTGCTGTGCCACGCGCTGTGAGAGCAGTGGGCAGGGTCTGAGGTGTCTGCAGACGTCACCGTCCCATGCGTAACGTCCACATCAGGCCAGGGGGCGAGGTCAGCAGAGACCCCGAGCTGGGCCAGCCCCACCCCTGCCTCCTTCCAAACCTCTCTGCCCAGTGGCGCCCTGCCCCACCACAGGCCCCAGGCTCCCTCCAGGACCACTGCCCGGGGCTCCCATCTGCCCCACTGTGCACCCGTGTCACGGTCCTGTCCTCTGTAAGAGATGGCTGTGGGGCCTCCAGGTCCCCTCCTGGCACTTGCATCCGTGCCCAGCCTCACTCAGGTGAGCTCAGGGCTTCTGTACCCACCCAGCTCAGCCCTGCTGGCTCAGCTCTTGCAGCCTCAGTTGCCCCAGCTGCACAGCGGCCGGGCAGGAGGTCCCAAAACCAGCCAGGAGTGGCGGTGGATCCGCCAGCCCCAGGGCCTCCCCACCTGCCCGGGGCTTCTCTGCTCCCTCCTGGATGGCCTGGCACACCTGCCTGATGTCGTAGCTGTACATGTCCTTCTCCGGGCGCCCGTGCATGACCCAGTGGGCCAGTTCCTGTCCACAGCCGCCGCCCAGCATCATCCCTGGGAGGGAACCAGCAGCTGCAGTCTGTCCCCACCCTGCGTGCACCCCACGCCCCTCCGGGCCCTCAAACAGTGTGTGCCACACTCACCAGCGCTGTTGAAGCCGCAGCCCAGAAAGAAGCCCCTCAGCTCAGGTGCCTCCCCCATCAGGGGCTTGTGGTCAGGCGTGAAGGACTCTGAGAGGGACGAGCCCGAGTGGTGGGGTCTGCGGGACCCTGCTGCTTGTGGCTGCCCATGCCCTGCCCTGGCCCACAGTGTGGGCCAGGTCTGCCTCAGCCGCCTCCAACCTCCTGCTGACAGCGGCCTGGGCTGGCCCTGCTGGTGACCCCCCGTCCTGGCACTGCAGGCTCTGCTGGCCCCAGCTTCCCTGGGCCAGGCCCAGGACTTCCTGCTTCTGCTCTGGGGCCCACAGGCCATCGGCCGTGCTGGCTGCAGAAACGCTGTATCCCCACCCAGGACGGTCCCAGGCTAACTAGGACCAGAGCACCCTGGGCTTTTGTGCCCCCAGGATTCTTCCTGCCTCCCCTGCAGGTCCCACACAAGCCAGGGAGCCTCAGGGACAGTAAGTCACACTGCCACCCACTGCCTGCAGCTTGGCCGCCCTCCCTGGGGGCCACAGCCTGCAGCAGAGCTGAGCTCATCACAGTGGTTAGGCAGCTGGTGTGCGGACCAACACAGGAATGGACCCCTCGGCAGTCTGGCTCCTCTGGTGGGCCCTTCCCCTCTCCTGGCCCCGACACTTCCTTCTGGGGCTCCGGGCTCCTCCTGGGCACCCCCACTCAGCATGCCCACTGCGGGGCTGGCTGGCGCCTGTCACCTGTCACCCCACAGGCCTCTGTCCCCCTCTGCACCAAGGGCAGCACAGAGGCGCCAAGGGGCCAGTGAGCAGAGGCCAGGCACAAGCAGCCTCCCGCCAGGTAGGAGCGGACCGCCCAGGAGAGCCCGCTGGGCCCGAGGGGCTCTCTCCTCCCTGGTCCTGTGCCCACACCTCTCGCACTCTGGTCTGCGGCCCTGCCCCGCCCAGCACGGACCTCCTCCCTCCTCTAGACCAGCACCTCGGGTCCGCACCCAACCCTGGGCACGGGCGGTGTGTGGTGTGGACCAGTAGCCGCTGAATGTGGCGTGGAGGCTGCCAGCCAGGGGACTTAGGAGCCAGGGCCTGGGGGTCTTCGGGCTGCACCACACGCTGCCAATATCAGCCTCTGGGGGCAGCATGGGCCCTGCGACTTCCCAGAACCTCAGCCCCTGACCCACCCAGGACAGCCACGGACGGTCCGTGACACCAGCCCCGGGTGGGCACTGTGGGCTCCACAGTGACCCACAGCAGGCATCGGGGACACAGCCCACCCTCTCTCCTCCCAGGGGGCAGTGCAGACCCAGGGCTCAGGAAGCCCCGTCTGGGGACCTTTCCAAGCCAAGCTGGCCTGCTGGGCCCTGGCCTCTGAGACCGGAGGTCGGGGCTGAGACAGGTGCCAGGGGGCTTGTGGCCAGGCAGTGCCTTGGGGGGAGGAGGGGAGAGAGGCTGGCACGGGGCTGGAGGCCGGGCCACATGAGCGCTGCATCAGCAAGGCCCGGCCTCACGGGTACAGGCACAGAGCCCCTCACTCCCGACTACGGGCGAAGACCCTAAGTTCCAGCTCCGGAGGGTGGCACGGGCACCTTGGGCAAGGGCACCATCCCCGGCCGACACCAGTTGGAGGGACCCCAGGCCACAACTCACCGGGGCCACAGACCGTGGACTTGATCCCCGTGGTCTCCAGCACGGGGACGCGGTTGATGGCGCCCTCGATGTGCTGGGTGAACACGTCCCAGTCCAGGTCAAAGAGGCCAAAGGTGAACTTGTCCGACACCTGCAGAGGCAGGTGGGGAACGGCTCATGTGTCCTGCTGAGAGGGCCAGGACCCCGGCCAGGGCGGAGGGGCGGCTTCCGCTGGGTCAGAGGTTGAGGGGCACTGGGAGACCCGGTTCCCAGCCCGACCAGCCCCACCACAGCCCATGATCGTTTCCATGGCCTCCAGCAGTCACCTGCTCCAGCCCGCTGCTGCCCCCCACGACTCACTGGGCCCCATGGAGCCTACAGGAGCCAGCCCCGCCCACGCCCAAGGCCCTGCCGGCTGCTCCTCTGGGCTCTGCCTGATCTCCCTGAGTTGGGCCCCACCTTGGCTGCAGCCTGCAGGGCCCCCTTAGTCCCTCTCTCTGGCTGATCCTTAACTTCCTAACTACATTCAGCCCAGAATCACCATCCAGGAAGTGTGGACCCTGCATCCAGCCCAGAGGCTGCGGGACCCAGCACTGCTGCCAACAGGCTCTGGCCCCTGTATGCTGTTCTTGCTCCATCCCAGGGCCCGGGGGGATGGGCGGGGTATCACCTCCTCCCAGAAGATGGGGTTGGCCTCGTAGCCGCCCACAGACAGGGCGTCTCCTTGCAGGCGCAGGTAGACGGAGGCGTCGTGGTCACGGACATTGGGCATGTTCTGGAGAGCAGGGCAGAGGCTGTGGCATCGGGCAGGGCTGGGGGGCCAGGTTCCCCACGCCCTGCGATGGGCCCCACACCTGCCCCTGGCATCATCGGGAGGGTGGACCCCAGCACCTCCTCCCAGCTGCAGGACCCCAGGGATGAGTGGACAGTGCCTCGGGCTACACAGAGGACCGGTGCCTCCTGCCCAGGTCTCTGCTTCCCCAAATCCCTTCAGAGAGCAGCAGAGGGGTGAGGAGGAAGGCGGAGGAGTGCTGTGGCCCACGGGGAGGAGGGAACGTCAAAGCCCCCGCTGTCCCTCACACCCCAGCCACCCCACACTGGATCGTGGGTTCCAGTCGGGCAGCAAGCAGGCAGCAAAGGTAAAACCCAGCCTCTGGTCATCGAGAAAGCAGGAAGAAGGACGCCCCTGTGTGCAGACAACGTGGTGGTCTTCCACACGGAGGCCCACGGATGGGCGGAAATGCTTCCGTATCTGTTAAAGGACCTCTACCCAGAATTTATGAATAATTCTTGCAGCTAGGTAAAAACACAAGCAATACAATTTAAAAATGGGCAACAAATCTAAGGAGATATTTCTCCAAAGCAGACTGACCAATGCACACGAAATGACTGTTAACGTCATCACTCAGCCCAGAAACAAATGAAACTGTGATCGGAGCCTCTCGACGGGGTGGCTGGTGCAAGGCCAGGCAACTGAAAATGCCAGGCAGGACGGGGAGACCTGGGGCCCCCACCTTGCAGGGGAGGTACTGGGGTCTCACTCCTGAGGAAACAGCATCACAGACTCTGATTGTTAAGGAGAGACGCCTCAGGACCCAGCAATGTCCCTGCCACGTGCATCCCCACGAGGAAGGGGACACCGGTCCACACAAAAACTCCATGTCCATCAGAAGACATGCAGATGGACCACACGCATGTGACAGAATAAGCGAACATCAGCCCACTACCAAAGGGGATGGTGGACGGTACAGACGCCACGCGGACAAACAGCGGAAACAGTAGCCTGAGGAAAAGAAGCCGGACACGAAAGGCCATGCACTGTAGATGTCCAGCCCAGGGAAATCCAGAGGCAGAAATCAGACTGCTGACTGCCTGTGCTGGGCCGAGGAGGGCAGCGGGGAGTGACCGGTGTGGGGCAGGTTTGAGAGAGGAGGACAGGGAGCCGGCACAGTGCGTACGCACATGGCTCGGAGGCTCCTAAAACTCTGAGCAGCTGGAGGGAAAGCTGTTAATAACTCTGGGAACACAAAGTGTTGGAGAAGACTCGCTCAGAAGTTAAGAATATTTACACAGCCATAATATTGCAAACTCTGACCCTGTGTAACCAATAAACAAAGCCATTCGGAAGGCCGGTGGGAGGGGAAGAGACCCACAGCCCTGGGTCCCCATCCGGGGCACTGTCCTCTGTCCTGGACTCACTGCAGATGACCACATGGTACTTGGGGACATGCAGAGAACAGAATGGGTCGGCATGGGGTATCCCTTGAGGGGTGGCCTCGAGGGAGCCCAGAGAGCTGTCAGGGACTGAGCCTTTCAAGAAGTGATGCTCGTACCCTACTCAAAACACAACACAAAGAAAACCCCAGAGCGCCATGGAGCAGGACAGTGGGGACACCTGGTGGCCAGTGAAGCCCAGACTTCTGTTCCAGCAGGACTGGCGTCCCGGCCCCTGCTGCTGTGAGCGCCCAGCACGTGTCCCCCACACGCCCACTCCAGCTGTGCTGCCACGGCCCTGTCCCTCCGATGTCCCCGCCTCCTGACCACAGCTCAGTCCCCTCCAGTGCTTCACACCAGGCTCCAGGTCCTCTCTGCTGTCCCCAGAGCTCCCCATAAGCACCTCCTTTCTCTCCTACTCTCAGCACCGCCCAGGTGGTCAATACAGTTCCTACCCAAGCTGGGAAGGGGAAACCGAGCCCCAGAGTGGTAGTGGAGAAGCGGGATTCAAAGCCCAGCCTGAGCTCATCCTGTCCCACAGCACCTGTGTCTGCAGGAGCAGTGGGAGGACAATGGGAAGGCGAGGACTTCAGTGAGCATCGGCCACCTGCTCTTCGGGACCAGCCTGGATGCCCCTTGGCTCGGTAGAGCTTGTCCTCTGACCCAGCAGCAGGCATCAGTGCCGGGGGCCCGTCCCCTCCCAGAGCCCTCGCTGGACAGCTGTCACCTGGAGGGCCGATGGGTGGAGGGGCCCGGGAGCCACTGTCTATGCCACAAATCCCTGTCTCCTGCAGACTCTTGGAGCTCCTGCAGCTGGCAACCCTGTCCTTGTGCCCTGCTAGCCACAGGCACGTGGGACCCAGACTGGCTTTGTAAATAACCCCAGCTTGACTCTGACCTTGAGATTCATGGGGTGCAAGGAGGCCAGCTCTGCCCTGCTGCTTCCCAAAGAGAGGGGCTCGGGAAGCCATCAGGGATGGAGCGAGGGTGCCCAGGCCTGACTTGGGGGACCCCCGGCCTCCCTCCTGCTTCTAGGACTCAGCTTTTGTCCCCATCCACGCTCAAGCCTCAGCCTGGTCCTCTTGGAGCCCTGGGTGACCAGAGAGCAGCCCTGGCAGCCACCGAGGCAAGGAGGCTGCCCCACACATCGGGACCGTGGAGCTGAAACTGCTCCTTGTCCTGCACCCCTAACTCACACTCAGACGTGGCTGCCTCCTCCACAGGAGCATCCTGCGGGGGTCGCTGACTGCGCGTCTGGGGCGGCCCGCCAGGCCTGGCTTCCAGCTGCACATCTCTGCCTTCTCCACCCTACAGCGCACGCAGCAGCCCAGCCTGGCACTTCCGGCCACCAGGAGAGGCCAGGCTCCTTCGGGGTGGGGGCAGCCTGCTCCCTTCCAGCCCACAGCTTGCTGAACTGCCCAACAGATCCGCCTGCCGCGATGGCCACCCCTTCTCTGCCACCCTCTGATCCTCCGGAGACTCGGCCGCCTGCTCCAGGGAGCCCAGGAAAGACCCACAGTTCTCAGTCCCAGCTCAGGCTGTGGTGAAGGGAGCTACAGACGGACGGGCTGTGAGCGGATGGGGTGTTGGGGAAGGGAGTGAACTAGGAGGGAGGAGTGGGTTCCGGGCCAAAGCGGGGCAGAGGAAAAGGAATGGAGGCACAGGGGGGAGGCGCACGCCCCGGGGGGCCCAGGTGCACCAGGCGCCAGTCCCTGGCAGAGGGCCGCCAGAGAGGCTGAGTCAGGGATGGCGCCCGCACAGGCGCTCAGGGCAATACTGGGGACCGAACCCAGGGCCTTTGCTCTGAGCTACATCCCCAGCCCTTTGTATTTATTTACTTACTTATTTTGAGACAGGGTCTCAGTCACTAAGTTGCCCAGGCTGGACTTGAATGTGCGATCCTCCTGCATCAGCCTCCCAGAATGCTAGGATTCCAGGCGTGCACCACCCACCCGGCTTACAAGGTTCCCGGAAACTCTTGGTCTCAGACTGGAGCCAGCTGGACTGGCTACCCCTCACAGGACGGGCTCCAGCCAGGCTCCGGAGGCCGAGGAGCTCAGTGCCATCAGGGCTCCGCCGGGGCTGCTTTGCTCAGTTCTAACACCCAGTGTCACCACCCCCATCTCACAGGGGAGGTAGCTGAGGCAGGGCATCGAGGGAAGCTGGGAGGGTTGGGTGTGCCCAAGTGGGGTCCCGGGGCTTGGCCCTGCGCTCCCCACTTCCGGACCCAGGCGCTGGGTGCCCACCTACCTGGATCCCCTCGATGCGCTCCGTGACGACGTAGGCATGGTGCATGGCCACCAGGGGCACCTTGACTCCAGCCATCCGGCCCACAGCGCCTGCCCACACACCTGCGGGCACAGCACGGGGCTCAGCTGTGCGGGCCGCTCTGCCCTGCCGGGACTCCAAGCTCGAGGGAAGCCCTGTGGATGTGGGGCCGGGGCGCGGGACATCAGGAGTCAGCAGAAACGCCAGCGCCACCTGCACAGTTGACCACGCAGGGCGTCTGGATGGAGCCATGCTCCGTCTCTACGGCTGCAACACGCCGCACCCCAAAATCATCAGTCCGCACACGGATACCCGTCACCGTGCAGTTCTCGATGACCTGGGGTGAGAGGAACTGCTCATAAAACTGCCAGGGCCTCCCGGGTGCCGACTCCACCCCTGGTGACCCAGGGACTCAGCGTCTGCTAGGGCAGCACTCGTGGAACCAAAATGAAACCCACAGCCCAGGAGCATGGGGTCCACTCATCCCTGCATGGTCACATGAGAAAGTCAGCTTCCTAAAATTTCCAAAATCCTTTGTTGAATGGGAAGATGCTCGTGGTTGTTGTAGTCTGTGTGTTTGTTCAGTTTTCTAAAGGTTACAAAACTCCCTTCTGAACACACATGTATCTTCACAGAAAACACTGGGGGTGCAACACGCTACACACTGGTAACTGTGGGGTGACTCCTCTGCTTTCAGTTTTGCATCTTTGTCTTTTTAAATCTTTCTACCACTCTGTGCAGGATTGAGACAAATGAAGATGAAAATTACACGAAGGGGTGCTAAGAGGATTCGCTGTGTGGCAGGGCGAACCTCCCGGGGAAAGAGGGACAGGAAAGCCTGGGTCCCCCTGCTGACCCCAAGAATGCGCCGCCCCCCCCCCCGTGCAGGCATGGACTGGAGGCTCAGCGAGGTCCTGCTGGCCCCAGGTCACCTGGCAGGGAGAGGACAGCTGGCTCCGGCCTCTGCTCTCAGGGTTCTTAGGACAGACAGGTGGCCCCGAGCAGGTGCCCTGAGCCAGGGGCCATCAGCACCTACCCGGGCTCCTCGGGCCACAGCCGCCCTGGCGAGGGTGGAGCAGGTGCCTGCGGGGTCCATGGTGCCGTCCTGCGGCACATACAGCGTCCCGTAGAGGTCATCCACCTTCATCAGCGGGTACAGAACCTTGGTCTCCGCAGGACTCAGCACGTGGGACTCCACACCATAGGCCTTGCCCAGCTGGGGAGCAGAGCACACTGAGCAGGGGGAGCCGTTCTGGAAGCTTCCGGGACACCAGCGGGTCCCCAGAGACCTCAATGCCCGGATCCCCCGACAGCTCCAGCAGCAGGTGAAGGAGGTGCCCTGGGGTCCGACCCCTGCTACCCCAAAGCTGGCCAGGTCTTCCCCCGGGCCAGAGAGGGTGGAAATCCTTTATTAGGTGACAAAGAACTGGGCCAGTACATGGTGCAAAGGGCTTATTAGCTTAAATAGGTAAAAATCACCCCACAGTCTTAGGTTCTGGGCCTGGGATCAAGAAAGAGGAAACTGCACTCTATGGGAGTCCAGACCACGCCCTACCACATTTGATTGGCCCAAAGCAGCCAATCAAGGGTCCCTGGGCCCGAACTAGGGAGGAGCTGAGCCAATCAGATCTCCATCTGGGAATTATGAATGAAGGGGGCCTTGCCCTGGGCCCCCGCCCCTAGGGAGCCGTCCCGTCAGCCTCTGGGGAGCTCGCCGAAGCCCTCCCCTGTCGCCCCAGCGCCGCGCACGCACCGACATGAGCCGCTTGTACTCGTCCAGGCGCTGCCGACTGGACGCGATGAAGAGGCCCCCGTTCTGGATCCAGCCCGTGTGCATCCCCGTCTCCTCCTCCAGATCGCGGCTCACCACTCGCCTCGTGTGTGCCAGCAGCTCCACCTCCACGTCGCTGGGCCGAAGCTGCCACAGCAGGCCTGGCCCGGAAGCGAGTGCAGTCAGTTCTGGGCAGGCTGCACCCCCTGCTCCCCATCCAATATCAGCAGCGGTGGGGCAGGGTGGGCTCAGCCAGGAGGCCGAGAAGGTTGAGCCTGGTCACAGCTGGAGACCGGGGGCGGCTCAGAGTGACGCCAGCAGCCCCTCCCCCGGCCTCTAGCACCGACTGTGTGCCGAGCCAGGGCTGACCCCGTCCCGGGTGCCCCACCAAGCCCCCACCGCAGCCTCGGAGGAGCGCACGCTATTTCACGGGTGAACTCAGGGAGCTCAAGGTCCGAGAGCAGGCGAGCGGCGGGGCCAGGACACGGGGCAGGGCTGGTGGACACCCAGCCGCCTCCTCTGCAGCACAACCGGGGAAGAGGGGAGCAAAGGCGAGGGTTTGGAGGGCCCAGGAGCCCGGTGCCTCTGGGGGCTCTCGGGCCCAGGGCGTAAGCCCCAGGCGCGGACCTCACCTTGGCAGCTTGACTGGATCGGGCGTGTACCCAATAGGAATGTGCAAGGGAACACAGCCCGGGTTACAGGGCAGAGGCAGAGCGTCCGGCTGCCCGGCAGACATGCAGCTCTGGGTGCTCGAGATGCCCCGCGGGCCGGCAGCACAGTGCCCACCAGCAGCCCCCACCCTCTACCCAGCGAGTGCCCCTCACACAGGCAGCGGGTCCTCTTCCCACCGCAGCCCATCAGAGACTTGGGGCCAGCAGCGACCCCACACCGCCCACCTCCAGCCTGACCACCACTCCCTCCCCCAGCTCACTGCCTCTCCCAGGCTCATGGCTGCCACCCACGCTGCACCCCACCTGCACCCCGACAGCCCCCGAGCCCTACCTGCTGTGTGCCAGGTGGTCCCTGACGTCAGTCGCTCACGCTCCAGCAGCACGGCCCCGGCCACGCCCAGCTTGGCCAGGTGGTACAGGGTCTGGCAGCCCACGCTGCCCCCGCCGATGACCACCACGCTGGCTGTGCTGGGCAGGGGCTGGCTGGGGCCTCGAGATGCCGCTCCAGGGCCCTGGGCCTCCTCCTTCAGGGTGCGCTGGTAGGGCACATTCTTCTCTGCCTTGGGACCCGCAGCACCAGCCAGGGCCTGCAGCCCAAGGCGCTGGGCTGGTCTCCATCGAGGGCAGGCAGTGGCCACAAGCAGGGCTCGGTTCAGTGAGGCCATGGGGACTTGGGGACTTGGAGCACCGGCAGCTAAGAAGAGAGCAAGGGCACACGGCGGGGCAGGGCTGTGTTGTGTACCAGACCCTGCTGCCCCACTCCCAACTCTGCCCGGGGCTCCTCCTGCTGCCTCTCGGGTGTGGCCGCATCCCCCTGCTCACCCACGTGGACAGAGGCACAGGTGGGGTGGGAGGGCTGTGGAGCCCAGAGCAGGACAGAGAAGAGGGGCCAACATGGCTGGCAGAGGCCCACAGTGGGACCTGGGAAAGCGGAGCATCCAGGGAGGGAGGATATCAAAGATGGGGTGACCTGACGACCGATTGAAGACAAGGGGAGCCGGGTCCCGTGGGACACTGGAGACCCAGAGAGCATGAATAGAGAGGCTGGAGCTGCAGGGGTTGGTGCAGGGCCTGGACAGCTCGGACGGGGCAGGGACACCAGTGGGAGGCAGAGGTGGGGGTGGGGTAGTGTGGGAAAGCAGTGCAGGCAGGCAGGGGGCCCAGCGTGCCCCGGGCCAGAGTCCCAAGAGTCCGTCCCCCTCAGCGGCCCTGAAGTCCTTCAGCGGCCCAGGCAGAAGCCGCTCAGGCTCAAAGACTGCAGGTGGGAAAGGGACGCTGGGTGGGGGCCTCCCGGGCCTCTGCCTCTGCTCCTCCCAGATCCTCTCCTTCAGGAAGCCCTCCCCGACCTCCCCAAGAACGAAGACCAGCACAGGGAGCTGAGGGCGTCTCCCGGAGGGTCCTGCCCAACACAGGGGGCGAAGATGCCTCAAGGGGGTGCCAGGGCCCTGTCCCCAGGCCAGCAGGAGCAGGAGGGCCCTGGTTGCAACCTGCAGTGCTACCTGCGTTGCATTAGTTTAACAGCACCCGAGGCTGGGCCTGCAGGCACCTGGGGTAACTAAAGCAGGGGCCTGGCCTGGCTTCCGCTTCGGTGTCTGTCTCCTTCATCAGAGCAGACACCTCTGGGCCTGGCGTGTGGGCCTGACCATGGTGCCACAGGGGCTGTAACACAGGGCTTACCGGGCCTGCGTCGCTCCCTTCCAGACCGGGACACCAGGACAAGGGGACCTAACGGGTTGGCAGGGACACACCAGCACCCGCTTCCAAGTCCCCGGAGCAGCGCCTAGAAGTCTCCAGTCACATCTCCACACCCGCAGCTGTCTCGGGGTTAGGAAAGCAGCACCCGGTGCTCCCAACCCCCATGTGGCACCCCCAGAATGGGAGCAATGACCCCGTGACAGGAGCCGAGGTGACCCCTGCTGTCTCACCATGGGACCCGGTTGGCCCCTCGGGCTGGCCCAGAACCCGGAAGAACCAGTCCTGAGACCCATGGCCGACCAGGTCTCCACCAGGTGACCTGTGCTGCCCCTTCTCTCTAAACCCGCTGAGACGGCCCTTCGTCCCCTCCCTGCCACCCTGCGGGTCCTTGCCCAGCGCCATGGGCAGTGACCCCGCCTGGTTGATGGGGACCCCAAGAGGGGCGTTTACCCTAACCTCAGAAACACGGCTGGTGTGAACTAGCTAAGATACCCCTCGTTTAAAGACCTACCTGTTTAACAGCTGTTCAGACTTAGGAGTTGTCTTTTTTTTTTATACATTCTGTACGTCTTGTTCACAGATTCTCAATGTCTTTTTCTGTACAGCTCACCTTATTTGTACAGAGCTGTCATTTGTGCTGCTTGTGCTGGACAGTACTGTGGTTCTGCGTTCTGTTCTACATTACAGCACTGCATGTAAGTTATGCAAACAAACCAAAGCCATCGAGCTGGAGCCCTTTGACCCCTCTGTTCTGAACACTGTAATGTACGTGCTGTATACAACTCCTCATTTAGCAACCAACTCATTTAACTCCGTTGTTAAACAAGGAATGTCTGTAATTGACTAAGTCGCTTCTACTGCCACTCTCCTGTGGATGTGACTGTCTCCCGTTTCACAGAGAGGAAACTGAGGCACAGAGAGGTCCCCACGAGTGACCAAGGTCACAGGGCCACAGCATGCCCTCCTGGGGCACAAGGCCAGGCCCTGGGAGCCTGAAGCCTGTGAGCTCCCCTGCCGTGGCCCAGGCCCAGTGGGGCTGAGTGAGGGCCCTGCCATCCTGTGCCCTCTCCCAGGGCAGCGGGTATAGCAGAGAGCCAGGCTCCATCCCTGAGGCTTTGAGGCAGGAGGAAGAGTTGCCAGCAGGAGATCCCCAGCCTTTCTGTAACCCTTTGCCCCCAGGGGTGACTCCTGCCCTTCTACTGCTGCAGAACCCTGCATGGGCGCCCATCTACCTTGGGTCCTCGAAGGTGCTGTCTTCCAGGAGTCCTGATGGGGGGAGTGGGCACCAGGGCCCCGAGGGGACCCTCCAGGTGGGCGCAGCACACCTAGGAGCCTCCTGCTCCCTCCCACTGAGCAGGGTCCAAACGGTGCTGGCCTTGTGCCCCTTCCCTGCCTGCCTGGCCAGTCCACCGCCCTGCCTCCTCCTGCAGCAGCTGCTTCAACATTAACCCGTATGGCTTGCAGCTCCCTCCCTGGACAGGCTCAGGAGTCAGCACTGGGGCAGGCAGGGATCTCGTCAGGGGCTCTGGTGGCACCTCAGCCTGGCTGGGTACGCGGGGAACGGGAAGGTGAGGGGCCAAGCACAAAAAGGACCCTGCATGTTGTCTCCTGGGGGAGCCCCAGCTGCTCGCCGCCCCCACAGTCCCTGCAGCCAGCTGAGCCCCACCAGCCCCACTCCCAGGGAGGCCCGGACCCACCCTCCTGGGAGACCAACCTCCTCCCTTCGGTGGTGGCACTGCCGCTGCCTTCCTCCCCAAGCTGTAGTCTAGCCGGAACAGGGCCCCCTCCCCCTGCAGCCTGCGCCGTGTCCCCGCCCCACGTGTGGGCGGGACGCACCGCCAGTGGGGCCCTCGGCCAGCCCAACAGGGCAGCAGCCAAGTGGGCAGCTTGGCTGGGGACTGGAGGCCAGAGCCCCATCTCTGTCTCTGGTGACCTGGCAGGTGACTTCCTCTCCTCTCCAATGCTCACTTCCTGTCCCTAACAAGGGGTCTCAAGGTCGCTGCATTGACCCAGTGCCCCTGACTGTCCCAGGAGCTGAGCACAGGGAGTGGCAGAGTTGCCCACCCATACTGAGGCTGCCCAGGAGCTCATCCTGGCACGGACAGGGCCTGGTCCTCTCTGCGACCCCAAATCCTGCCCTCCAGCGCTCCCAGGGTGGGATTCCTGCTTCCACGACAGCCAGGCTCACCAGAATCCAGAGAAGGGCCCAGCGGGCCTCGGGCCACACAGCGATCTGGGCAGGGTTGGACCAGGTGACCGCACGTGGCTGGGCCTGGGCATTTGCCCCCTGGAGGCAGAAGTGGGTACCTAGAGGAAGTGGGAGGAAAAAGAACTTCTGGAGAGCACCACCAGCCATGAAGGGACAAGTGAGGCCGCCACTGTATCAGCAACCAAACAGCTGTGTTCCGGCTGTCTGTCTGGCAGTCAGCCTGTCCGAACTCCACCGGCTATGCACTTGGTGTATATGAAGCCTCGCTGGGAGATCGAGCCTCCCCAGCCCGGGCTGACCTGGGGGCATTGGGGCTCAGAAAGCAGGCGAACCCAGGAGGTGGGTCCTGGCTGTGACGGGGCCACAGCCCAGCAGGCTGTCCTTCCTCCAGCGGGGACTGGGACATCCTGGAGGAGGGCCCCAGCCCTGAGGCTGCTGTGTGCTGACCCCATCCCCAGTCCCTGCGTGGAGGGCAGGGGGCGGTGCTTAGGCCCCGACACCCGCCTCATCCCAGGCTTCCCTGGGCTGTCGTGGGGTCCTGGATGGGGGAGAGACCAGCGTGGTCCCTGTCTGCACGCTGCAGCCCAGCCTGGCTACCTGAGGAGAGGTTGTGCCCTGAGCAGGGCGGACAGGGCAGCCCGGACTCCCCTGGCCCTGAGTCCTGAGGCCAGTGGCAACAGCAAAGCTGTCCCAAGCCAAGTGGCAGTGCTGTCACCTGGACTTCGGACACGGGGCAGAGGCTGGAGGGGGACCTGGTGCAGGCAGTGTGGTGGGATCTGTCATTGACCCGGGCATGCGACACCCTGCTCAGGAAGGGACAGGAGGGCAGGCCAGCTCCGGGGGTGGAGGCACAGGCACTGGCCCGCAATGCCAGGACAGGTCCTGCTGCCGCCCTGCACTACCTCAGGCTGCTCTCAGCTCCTGTCCCTCCACTGAGACTCAGTTTCCCTATCTGAGAAGTCAGACTGTCCCCTGCGATGCCAGCTTCATAGACATTTTCTAATTTCCCCTGATGATTATTGCTCTCTCCTTCTTGGATTTTGAGGAGCACGTGGACATCGTGGCTGACTTACCCCAAATCCAAGGGAGAACCGTGCTGGACTCAGGCCTCGCAGCTGCTCCCCTCCGGCCCAGCGGGCCTCCCCACAGTCCCCGGCTGCTGCCCGCCTTCTGGGGCACTAAGGCTGACCACAGGAGGTCCTCTGCCGGGCAGAAGTCCAGGGCAGCACAGGATGGGTTGGGGGTCCTCCACCAAGCTCCACACGTGGCTCCGTGAGAACACAGGCAGCGATCATGACAGCCCAGCCTGGGAGCCCGTCCTCCCCCCTCCCAAGAAGCGCCAGTGTGGGAGGTCAAGGGGCAGGCAGGACAGCAGGTGCCAGGTCCCTTCAAGTCACAGACCAGGAGCACTGGAAGCCAGGATGCTTTGGAGCAGGAGTTATCCTGCCAAGGTTTTATTTTTCCAACAAAAACCTCAAACACACACAAAAGCCCCAAATGCCTGCCTCCACTGCCCCTGGGGCTGGTGAAGACCGGATGCTCACATCCATCGCGGGACGAGTCCGGCCTTTCCCAGAGGAGCGCCCCAGCCTCTGCCCTTTCGGTCCTGGGGCCACCTGAGGCATCTGCCCCGGGGCACGGCGGGTGCGAGCAGCTGGTGCCAGGGCCCGGATGCCGTGGCTCCTCGCCTATGCGCCACATCCCCCACTCGTCCCCACCATGCTTTGCATGGGGAAGGGTTGCTGCCCACTCTGAGCCTGTGCCCTGGTGAAGCTGGCCCACCTTTGCAGGGCCCACTTAGGGCACCGCTGTCCAGCTGGCCACAGTCCCCACCCTGTGTCCTGGCCCTTTCACGGCCCCCTGGCCTCAGGGACCTCTGCCTTCCCAGCTGCTCACCAGACCCCTGGCTGCCCTCTGAGTCCAGCCCCTAAGACACGCATGCCCTGGCAGTGCTGGGCAGGCAGGAAACTGGGTGCGTTTGGGCTCTGAGGCTGCAATGCCCTCGAGTGCCCAGGCGGGGGCAGCAGCACCCAGGGATCTGGTCACCCCCAGCAGCCTGCCCGGCAGGAGGTTGGCCATGGCGGGAAACACCGCCCCCCAATGGCCATTAGTGAGTACTGCACCCTGGGGAAGAACCACTCGTGGCAGCGGGGAGACAACCAGGCTGTTCTCAGGAGACCGGCAGCTCGGTTCTGGACCACAAAGCCCCTCCCTCAAGCAGGACAGAGAAAGGGGCGGCCCCAAAGGAGAGTAGAGCGTGGGAACCCTGCTCCAGGGAGCAGAGTGCATGTCGCCTAGCTGCTTGCCACCCCTGCCCCTGTCAGATTCAGAAGGGGAGGGTTAAACGCCTCTAGGCGGCTGGGAATCTGTCCATGGCACTGTAATTCCACCTGGCTTTGCTCTGTGTATTTATTTGTTTGGCTGGTTTTTTTGAGATAGGGTTGCACTATGCAGTCCAGGCTGGCCTCAGACTTGAGGCAATCCTCCTGCCTCAGCCTCCTGAGTGCTAGGATGACAAGAGTGTACCACCACTCCCGGCTTGCTGTGTGCATTTGAGGCTGTGTGCTAAGGTCCAGGATGGTGCATACGGCTCCGGTGTCACTGGTTACCACTAAGGAGCCTCTTGCACAGCTGCTGCATCTGCCTGTCTCGCTGTCGGGTTTGGTGCATCCGCCGATTTCCAAGGTGCAAATGCCCTCTCCGCAGCTGAGCTGACCCGACAGCAGGAACTGGGGTGCCAACACCATCGGCTCCATTCCCAGCTTTGCTGCCTTCACACCGCATAGCTCCTTCCCGTGGGCCCTAGTCACACGGTGGTCACTTCCTTCAACCCTGGCCTGGATTCTCCTTTCCACCCTCTGCTTTCAGTATTTCTGAGACACCGGTCCCCGCTGGGCCAGCACAGTGGTATTCAAGCGTGTGACACACAGCCTGGTCACTGGTGGTGACTGTCCACGAAGGGGAAAGGCGGGGCTGAAGCTCAGCTGCCGGGGTGAGGACCAGCGATGGGCGCTGAACCTCGCCTGAAAAGCAAGAGAACCTGAGCGCCCACGGGTGCAGGGAGACAGATGCGGGCACAGCAAGCTACCCTCGCCCCAGTAAGGTCCGGCCAAGCCACGGGCTCGGGAGAAATAGAATCCACTCCCTGCCGATGTCTGGGTGGCTTCCTCCCAGCCAAACTGGGGTGCGGGCTGCCTGTGTAGGCAAACCAAGAGTCACGCAGGGCTGGGCCACAAGAGTCCCAGCCCAACATTCTGTGCGTTCTCCATGTGAGTTAGACACTGACCCCCAAGACATGCTTCCAGGAGGCCGATGCCTCTGCCAGGCAGAGCCCTGAGGCTGTCAGGTCCTTGTGTTGGGCTGTGGCTCCCTCTCCTACCAAGACCCAGCACCGATCTGTCCCCAGCCTCCTCTGCAGCCAGCTGTGGCCACCTGACCGGCTGTGCAGAGGCGGGGTAGCTTCAGGGGGTGTCCAGAGTGGGGTCATGCCCTTACCTGCCCTTCTTCCAGCCAGAATGTGAATCCAGGGCCTGGGGTAGAAGCCTCAGCTGGGGAAGTCACGCAGGAGACCAAGCAGCCACCCACAGGGAGAAGGCTCTGGGCCTGACACCACGGAGGACGGTCCAGCCCTGGTCACACCTGGAGCCCTGGGGGCCACGTGATGGTTTCTTCTATCTAGCTGTGCCCCGAGGGCCTCGTGAGCTCAGAGGCCGGCTTTTGGAAAAGGACCGGACCACGGAGCTCAGGGCTGAACCGGTCAGGAGGCGGGGCCTGGTGGGAGGTGGTCGCTGGGGCGTGGCCTCTCTGGGTTCTTCTCCACCTAGGCGCCTCTCTTCTCTCTCCTTCCTGTCCACTGTGCCCTCAGCAGCTGCCCTCCGCTCAGGCCCTTCCAGACTTCCTGCCTTGCAGCCAGCTGACCATGGACTGAACCCTTGGGCCGAGATAAACTCTCCTCCTTTAAATTGCAGGTGTTGGGTATTTTGTCCTGAGGACAAGGAAGTGACTGAGACGGCAGCCCTCACTCCTGTCCGAGGGGCAGGTGGTGACTCTAACCAGCCCTAGCAGAGCTGCTTTGCTATGTGCACGTGCAAGTGTTATTTTTCTAGGGAAAAGTAAAGACTCACAATTCAAGTATTAAGACAAATGCGTGCACCGGTATCAAGCTGTGACCAGAGAGAAGAGGCTGGGCTCAGCCCACAGACACGGTCAGATCTTTTCACTAGAAGGCCTGCCATGCGGCAGGGCCTGGCCACCACCAGACAGTGCAGCCAGAGGTGATGTCCAAGCCCTGTAATTTGCGCACATTTAATACCTTTGTAATTTTCCACTTGGAAAAATTACCTTTTAAGTGGTAATTTGAAAATGCTTAACGGAGACTAAAACTTTTGTTCAAGGAATAAATACTTTGTTCCAATCTGGGAGGATGAACAGAAAGCAAAGCTCAGAAAGCTTAGGAAGGCCAGGCAGGGTCGGAAAGCGAAGCTCACCCTGGGCCTTGTCCTTATGCAGCACATGCTGTCAGGGCAGCAGTGCTGTATTCTACAAGTTTTGATAGGAAGGATTCATATCATTTAATTTAAAATTTTAAAATAATTTTGAACTGTTTTATCATCCCATTATAATTTTTTGGATTACTTGGTATTTGGAAATTTGTTTCTTAATTTGCAAACATATGGAGATTTTTCTGTGTAATTTTTGTTTCTGGTTTCTAACTTCATGGTGGTGAACTTAGAAAGCTGGTTTATACAATTTGAATAACTGGAAACTCATCAAGTCCTGCCCTAGACCCCGAGGAAGGTACATTTGCAGGAAGATGTGTGATACATAAGGGCAGAGTGTTTGGTTTCATGATTGTTCGCTGCTCTTCTAACCTTATAGTCTCACTGATTGTTTTTTCCTTTCTTGTAGAGCTGGGG